AGCCACGAATATTAGAATTGAATTTATTTTAAATCACATCACGCCAAATTATCCGTTCAGTTATATTAATTAGGCCCCGACGACTCTGTAGGAATTGTTTTACCTTACATTCGATATTAGATCGATTACCAACGTCTTTAACTAATTATTTTAAAGTTCATTACGAGTAATTGAATCATATTGGCTTAAGATTGAATACTCGTTGGCCCTACAGAGTCATTCAAAAGTTAGGCAAAATTCTCCAAAACACTTTTACGAAGGCTGGGATGATATAGCTCCAACTGGGCGTCTGCAGGATTTCCTGAGCGCTTCTAGAGCTCTGAGCCTTCGATTAAATTTAAATAAATTGATCAGTCAAAGCCGTGACAACTTCGTATCGACCCCTGGATTTTTCTCGGCTCCTTCTGAGCACTCCGGGGAAGAAATTTGAGTGTGGCCGGTTCTAGGGGTAGGCCTAGCCTGACTTTGGTGAATACCAGTTTATTCCCCCCCTAGAATTTTGCGTCACATCTCTGGCGCCCGAACAGGGACTGAGCTTCCTCGGTCTCACGTCCTTGTACTGTCGTTTTGTAGAATTTTGCGTCACATCTCTGGCGCCCGAACATTTGGACTCGAAAACACGGTTTTGACTTTGACATTCAAACGAAATGACGAGATGAACGAAATATACGACGACTTCGACTACTACGACGACCATTACTCGACCCGATACGTTATCGATTAGCCACGTAACGATATACACGGTGGAAATTCAAACGTTGAAGACAACAACCACGATGAAATTCCCGAAATAATGCCTTAGACGATGGAGAGCTTACCGAGATCACCGATATACGACCCGCGCGTCGGTTGGATCCACACTTTGAGCAGACGGTAATAGCTGAGATGACGAAGTATCAGCTGGGAACTGGGAGTAGCGTCGCCGAGCTTCGCAAACACTTTTGCGAGTCTTTGTGAAACCCGTTGGGAAGCACCGGTCAGCCGATGAACCCGACGGTGACATCGATATCTTGGACTACCGCCTGTCGCCCAGGCAAGATATTCCGTCGCGCATCACGATCTCCGGTCCAACGACGGAACACGATCACCACGTACCGTTCGATAGACGCAACGATTTACCCAATGCCGTACGACCTTCGCTAAGCTTTGTAACGCAATTCACGGGAACCGTCAGCCGCGAACGCCCCCCAGAGATGACCGACCCTTCGTCGACGTGGTCATCTCAGGTGAGACGTTCAGCGCCCTCGTCGATACCGGCTCGTCAGTCAGTCTGATTGGAGATCGTACGTCACTTTCGGACGTGCGGCGTCGTACCCGACCAGACTGACGTCAACCAACGAATGGACAACGCAGCGTGTGTTTCGGATCGATACCGAGTAGACGACGATTGCTGGCCAACCTTATTCGCGGGATATCCACGTCCCGGGCCTAAGTGTGGAGGTGGTACTCGGCATTCGGTGTACTGCTGACCTCGCTCTAGTCAGAGTACACACCGTAGTACGAAACCTCCACAACGAAGATGTCCCCCCGCCCTTTCCGGTCAACAACATCAACCACGAAATTAAAATTTTCAAAATTACACGGAAAACAAACACGAAATTCGCAGAATTTCTGGAACACGAAATACCGCTGTTTGACAACGATTAGGGGTAGTCGGCGTTGACTGAGCAGACGCAGTGGCTCAGGGCAATTGCAACCCCAGTCAAACAGAGGTATCCCAGAAATCCTGTAACGCAATTTATCGTAAAGGACGCTTTCCCGAGGCAACCCGTGGCAAACGAGGGCCAAACGGGCCTGGCCACGGTGAGTCACCTCACATCGGAGGTGGCCGACGTGCCTCGTGAACGTCCCAACGTACTAATTCGCCGAGACCGGAAAGATGACGCATCGAGGCCAACCGCGACGAACGACGGCCAATCGGGCCTTGTCGTGGTGAGTCACCTCACATCGGAGGTGGCCGACGTGCCTCGTGGACGACGCCCGACCCGACGTAGGAATTTTTCGAAACCGAAAAGCCGATCGAACAACGCAACGAACTCCGACGCACGCCCCGACGGAGCTGGTGATATCCCTCCCGTTGGTTGATACGATACGATACGAACGAATACGACGACTTCTACAGGCACCCCTTCTTCGAGACCATTCCGACCCCGTCCGAACCCTACGTTTAAGATTTTTTTTTCTTTTTTACTGAAGTTGGTAAGGGGTGTAAGGTACCAAATTTTAAGGGGGGTAAAAAACGTATTGCTAGTCAACAAACACCATAACTTACCCGATTTTTATCCACAACATCCTAATCCTAGGCCTATGTGTTGGCCCTAGCTTGGGCTATGGGCCAAAGAACGTAGGCCTACTTTTGATAACAGTGAAGTACACGAACACACCCACAACTACATATTTATTCATAATAGCAATCCTTTTCACCAAATAAAGTTAAAACGACCGATTTTACGAATATTTAACGCCGATGACAACATCACTTAACCTCGAAATGGTGTTTGTTGACCAACGACAGACGACAACTAGACCGGCTCAACAGGTGAATTTCCGATCAGCTGTTGGCTAGTTCTCGAACTCACCACCAGAGCGATTAAGCCTCGACCGAGGAAATCATGATTTGAGCCATTTGAGCCGGAAAAGTTTATTCGCTGTTTGACCACCGACTAGCTCGCGCGAGTCACGAACACGACAACGACACTACGATATTATTACGAAGGTTAGCTAGCTACCATACTAGTTAGGCCCCTTTTTACGTTTTACGTTATACGTTATTTCTGTTTTATCTTACGCATACTTTACTTATCATACCTTTTCGTTTTCTTAAAATTCCATTACGAATTAGCTTAATTTAATATCTCAACTCGAGTCTTGACCCGCCAGTTCCTGCCTGCCAGTGACTAGCGGTGGCGATCGTATATTTTATTTTAATTAATTAGTTTCGAAATTACGATTTCTACGTTCGCTCAACAAATAATTATCGCGTCTAAATTATATCTCGTTTTCACCGTTTTAATACCCCGAGACTTGTCGTCTGAGTTCTAAACCCCGTCTTTGGCGGGTGAAAGAATCAAGTCTTGGGAGCAGGCTGATTTAAACAATCAGCCACGAATATTAGAATTGAATTTATTTTAAATCACATCACGCCAAATTATCCGTTCAGTTATATTAATTAGGCCCCGACGACTCTGTAGGAATTGTTTTACCTTACATTCGATATTAGATCGATTACCAACGTCTTTAACTAATTATTTTAAAGTTCATTACGAGTAATTGAATCATATTGGCTTAAGATTGAATACTCGTTGGCCCTACAGAGTCATTCAAAAGTTAGGCAAAATTCTCCAAAACACTTTTACGAAGGCTGGGATGATATAGCTCCAACTGGGCGTCTGCAGGATTTCCTGAGCGCTTCTAGAGCTCTGAGCCTTCGATTAAATTTAAATAAATTGATCAGTCAAAGCCGTGACAACTTCGTATCGACCCCTGGATTTTTCTCGGCTCCTTCTGAGCACTCCGGGGAAGAAATTTGAGTGTGGCCGGTTCTAGGGGTAGGCCTAGCCTGACTTTGGTGAATACCAGTTTATTCCCCCCCTAGAATTTTGCGTCACATTATATTAGATTAAGAAATGTCATTGTATTTTTATTTATTTATATTTAAGTTTGTCAGGTTAAGTGTAAGAGAGGGCCATGTGGCCCTAACTTTGCCTGGTAAAATAAAGAATTTTTCATTTCATTTCATTTCATTTTCATTTCATTTCATTTCATTTTCATTTCATTTCATTTTCATTTCATTTCATTTCATTTCATTGTTTTCGTGCACCCAAAAACTCACTACTTAAACTATCCTATTAATTAATTATTTTCAAATATCCAAAGTGAAAAGCTGGTGAATATCACAACTATGCCTGTAAATATAAAAATAAATATATATAATAATAAATGTATATATTATAATATATATAATATATAACATATAATATAATATTAATAATAGGCTATATATAAAATATATATATAATATAATTATACAATATATAAATACTGTATATACCTGTATATATATTAAAAAGTTTCCATAGTCTTATCATGCTGGTTGGCAAACTTGTTCAAATAAAAATGTAGGTTTACACGTTTATAAAAAAATTAATTAAAATCAGATCATGTTTGTTTGAGTTATCGTGATAACTGACACATATCTAAATATATAAAAGGCAAAGCCCTCACTGACTGACTGACTGACTCACTCACTCATCACTAATTCTCCCACTTCCCATTTACCTAGGAGGCTGAAATTCGGTACACCGATTAAGTAATTAAGAAACTAAGTAATTTTAATTCTGATCGGGCTTTCGGGCTCCGCCCCAGTGGCTCTGGAGGTTCCCATGTTAACCTTATGATTTTTCATATTTAAAAGGAATTTCTTAACAACTGTTTCAATTAGTTTCAATTACACAAGTTGGTTCTGTTCTATGATGTTCAATAGCATTAAAGTTACAAGGATTACCAAAAGGGTGCAGCACTATTATTTTTTTAAATTTATGACTAGAGCCAATTTGGAACCAAAAGGTGAGTGAGCGTAGCGAATGAACTTCAACCTGGAAGCGAGTTAGCGTAGCGAACGAGCTAACCTGAAGGCAAGTGAGCGGAGCGAACGAGCTCCAACCTAAAGGTGAGTGAGCGTAGCGAACGAACTTCAACCAGGACGTGATTGAGCCATGCGAACGAGCTCACTTGTGAAGTTAAACGGGGCAAAGCCCGCGGGTACAGCTAGTGTATATATATACATATGTATATACATGCACATATACCTATATTTAAAATATGAATTTGAACGGATGATTTTTTTTACCTCTAGGGACCTCAAAATAAAAAGTAAATCGGTCCCAGGTACTACGGTAATAGCTCTCTATTGGGAAATTCGCTAAAAAAAGAAAAGCAAATAATCAAATTACAAATCCTTTCATAGACCTTAGCCGATTAACATTTAACATTCAACTCACATTATATCTCCTTCCTCCAATTTCAAATCACAGCTGGGGTTGATGATTACATAGGACAAGCTTGATCTTTTCTCACTAACATCATCGTAATCTACCGGAGGAAGGTTTAGACTCTCCATCCTAGACCTGACGAGATTCGCAATCTCTGCTCTCTCAATCATCTCCGCATGGTTGTCCTTGGCTTCATCACCGACGTTGATTGAGTACTGCAATACAAATTAGGATTATATGAAAATAATTGTCTGTATGTGTATACTGACAATTCAGTATTGTTTGTTGATTAGATAAAACGATAGCGATAGCAAACCAGGGGCCCACAAATGAGTAAATAATAATTTAAAAGAGCTTAGTTCCTGACTAAAACCAGTTGAATATTTAAATATGAAATAATGTCAATAAAGTAAACTTTTGTATTAGTCAAGCTCACGTATTTTAAGTCGGCGCGGCTCTATGATGATTTTTGATACAAAATTTAAAGAGGATGTCCACTTAGGTGACTATCTATAACTAAAGGTGATTATAATCTTATAGTGATATTAACGAGTATCTTTAAAAAGATAATAATGTATTTACATATTTCTAACTTGGAAAAGTAACGTTTTAATTTTAAACTAGCTTCTTTTCCCTATCATAATATCAAAATAAATTATTTTCCTATTCATATAGAACATTTGTGAGTGTTATTTTCATTATGCAATCATTCTGAAGTAAACATAAAATACAAAAAATACTTCCTTTGATATATATAAACAAAACAGTTAACCTTTGACTATTAATACAGTATCAAGTCAATGCTCAAACCCAATTACTGTGTTGTATCACTTTACAAAACTAATTCTAAAAGGTTTGATTGTCATTCCCACAAGCCTTGGGTATTACGGGGCCCAGTGCAAACACTCTGAGCGGGACTCTCTTACTACCAAATAATTAGTAGGCCTTATCCCAACAATATTAATGAATAAATTCTCAATGCATAATGTTAGTATTAATACTCTCTCCAATTTTCTATTTTTATAATTGACACAATTCATGTAAAATTAGGATTAACAGACTTTTAAAAATCTTTTTGTATTTGCACCATGGGCTGCCTCTGAAGCACGGGGCCCTGTGCGGTCGCACCTTTTGCACACACCTAAGGTCGGCTTCTTTCGCCAGTTAAAAAATCATGGCATATACCCGCATTATGTGATGCTACTAACATAACTCAAATCATGATGAAAGGGAATAATCTGATAGAAAAATATTCCATTCTTACATGCACAGTAAAATAATTTTTACAATGATTGGATGGGTATAAAAATTCAAAAAAATTTGTTTGATGATATTTTGAAAATCATTTCTCGAAAATAAAAATACTAGGATCCTGCACGGTATTGCTGCTACCACCATTCAAAACAACAGACAATTTTCCTTCATTATTTACAGCTCACTAAATCTTATAGTTTTGAAAGCTACTATACCAAATAATATTGTTCAATCGTTTTTAAGCTGCATGGTAAACAAGTAGTAAGATATAAAGAGAGTGGTATAAGTAGTAAGTTCTACGTAAAACACGTTCCCTTGCAGATTGTGGACGTGTTACCTTTACTATCTAAAATTACCAGTATTGTTAAATTATGGCAGAAGCGATTGGAAGATGAAAATGTTATAAGAAAAGGAAGAAAAGAAGAGCCAAAACACTTACCATGGAGGCAGGGTCTCTATCAGTGGAGCCTAGGCAGTTGGTAGGAATGGCAGAGTAGGCAGAACCAGTGTTGCCAACTTCTGGTTCAGTCTGTCGCACAGTGTTACCAACATGCACACATTCACAGGCAGGACAGGAACAAGCCATGAGAGCAGCGTTAGTACAGTTAGTGGAACGCACAACACGATATGTAACAGTTAGAAATAATAATGGAATGTTAGTAAGACGTAAATGTTAGTTGGTTAGAGGAAATGTAAACCAGCAGGAAGCTGAAGATGAACAGATGAAAGTTATTGTAAACTAATTTACCTTCCTATATCCTTTATGTTGTTATTACTACATGTTACAACAAATTTAAAAACATCTGCACATTACTAGGCCTCACACTACGTTGCGAGCACTCATTGTAATGGTCAGACTAGTAGCGATGTTCACGTTTTCTCTGTTATTACTTATTATTGGTGTTTAATTTCTTCATATTTAACGTTAAATTTTATCCATGACGAATCATTCAAGAGGATATGCCTGAAGATTTGGCAGTCGTGATGAAGCTTTAGTAACAACAGCTTCATAGGATATTTTAAGGCAAATAAATATTTTATACCAAAGTATATCAATATCCCGGTGCTGGGAAATGAATTCTGACAAAAGTGAATAATGAAGAATTAAAACATCACCATACCCCTAAACTGAGGTGAAATGATATTCTTTAACACGTTGGGTGCTGATGACGGGAATTCCCGCAATTGCTTAACATTGAAATAAATGCAACTTTTATGTTCAAACATGTCGACAGCACGAATAGTGTTAACCTCCACCTATGTGATATTTCTCGGAGTTGGTGATGTTTTTGGTTAATTTCCTCTAGAGCATTCACAGAAGTTTAGTACTGTATGCGTTATCTATTTGGCTTTCTATTGCTGGCATTCATGTTGGTCAAACTACTTCAGTTCAACCTTATTGCCTTTCGGTAAAAGTAGGTCGTGGTCATCTCAGTTCAGACAAGGGTGAAAACCTTGGAAAGTGTAGGATGAATAGTTTATTCTATTTTAAAACACTTATGTCTGCAAGCTGGTCAGTAACTTTTAACTTGTTGGTTGCGATTGGGAAACGTATATAAGTATACTGCTGGAGCAGGATGCAGAAACTGATAAAAACATATTATGTTCTAACCAGTAGCAGAGCCACAGTATAGCGTTGTACTAATTGGAAGTGTTTAGAAATTTAGCTATGAAAGAGTTTAGCAGGTTATGGGATAGTTAAATACTTAGTAAAGTAACCAAATGTGGAGGAACAGTTTAAAACAAGAGCTATTCGATTACTTCTGTATCTGTAAAATGCACGCAAATTGCATAATTTTTATCCAGTAAACCTCCAACAGCAAACACGTTAAATCTCCTTCAAAACGACTATAACCAACCGTAAGCTTTAGCTAAAAAAGCAAGGTGTGCCGTGATTTTGTAAAAAAGTCCATGTTTTTGGTAGCTATACATTTTTTTTACCACCTGTAGAACCAAAGTTGTAGATGCAAGCTGAGGATCTCGAGTAGAAATAGATGAACGAGATGTAAAATTGAAAATTGGTTTAGTTAAAAGTAAAATAAAACATGCTAAACAAAATCTAAACCACTTACATGTGGAGATCCTGTTGTGGTGGTGTCTTGAGTTCTATAGATGCCGATAGGGATCTCACAAGTAGTTGAGCACAGTTTCTGGTAGAGTCTTCCATATGTTCGGATCCACATGTCATCTTTTGTGATCTTCATCTAGAGAAAGTAAACACTCATCATCAGCTAAGTGCTCTCTTCATCTAGAGACGCATTAGGTTTGTTTAGGCTTTTCACAGTGATCAACTCTTGACTTTTTCATCAAGAGGATATCAAAGAAATTTCTTTAGACAAAATCTGAATGGGAGTAAATTTTGACCAAAAAGGGTGTTTACATCAAACTAGCTCTCAAGCCCGAGGTCTACAGTAGCCCAACGTAAAAATATCTACAGGTAAGGCTATTTCGAACAAAAGTAAAGGGTTTTGTATTAATTTTGAACATTCACTAGAGGTCTTTTGTGGGATTGACGGACATAACTATTTACTGCAACCATTGGTTATTAAAAGTTCCGATGCAAACTGAATTTTGTAAGTGATAAACAAAATCATTTTTCATTGTATTATCAGTTGGCCAAGGGACTGGCCATACCTTAACCAGGACCCACTAGGAAAGCATCCAAACTCCATTTTAGACAGTCAAACCCTATCTGGAGAATATAATATTAAGTCTAACTACGTAAGTTATCATTCCGTGTGTCTCAATGACCTTTCACCTATCAGGAGCACATGGCAACTTCTCTCCATTCTTTGTTGTTCATGACAAACATTTCCTGACACTTCACTTCATCAATATCAGAAATAACACTACACTTTAAAAAGGCATTTTAACCATTACTCTTTTCTAAGATCAGATTTATGTCCTTACTCCTGTGTATCAATCTAAGCAACTGATAGTCATTGCCATGTTTTGTTTGGACGCTCCAGTTTGGATTTTTTTAAATAGTACTGTTATATAGTATTAACAATTACTCTTCACCCAAGCAGATACTTACCGATGTAAGGAACCCTGAGCCCGGGGCTTGGTCCACGCCCAGTAACAGCCTGACAAAGGTGATAACGTAGTCTTTGACGAAGGCTTGGTAGAGCAGTGTATCCAACATACTAGCACTGAACACCGACCCGGCGGCGAACGGAAGGCGGAACATGTAAGAGATGTGGGACCCTCGCTCCTTCTCTCTCTACATCATAAAACTTCCGTTAGTAAAATAGTAACATATTTTTTTACTTTGATTTTAGGCTGGTAGTCATTAGAAGTTTTTTTGGCAACCAGAAGCACAAAAACATAGGTTTTTAGTAGAACCCTTAACAAATAGTTGTACTTATGTGCAGAGTCAAATTTAATTTTTAGAAAGTTTTAGTTCTTTTCAGTTTTTTGACTAATTGGTGTAAAATGGTGTAATCTTCAGATATTCAACATAACCGTTCTATTTTAGAACAGTTCTTTTAAATACCATATGTTCCACAAGAGCACAAGAGTTATTCTTTTGTCATTTTGTTTAGCTTAAAAACTAAATTTCTTTTTGCTTGTAGAAAACAAACTCTTCTACCTTAGATCTGACACAATAAAAAAATTATATATATGTCTGTAGTGATGTCGTTTTGTTTTAATTCAAGTGACTTGAACTTCATTTTGTGTATAAACATGTATATAATACACAAACAAAAGTATAGCTTTTGAAAAATAATTTGACAAAACAATCTCGCGAGCCACAAAATATGTTTCATAAAAACTATCAAAAGCCAAACAGTATGCTAGCACTCACACAAGTCATCCAAAATTCTCAAAAATGTCATGCCTAACAAGCCAGTACTGTGTATAATATTTACAGTATTTAACTATTATAAAAAGTTCTTTACACTTTACTTTCAATGTAAAGATTTGACTATATATTTTTTTAAATAATTGATTCCCAAAAAGAAAAATCAATTTATTACCAATTATTAGCTTAAAAGATATATTATTCTTTAATGATTATAAATCAATGGAGAGCAAATGAAAGAAACTTCTTATAACACTTAAAACACATATTTACGCTTTTACTGTTACTCACAATACAGTAAATAAACATAAAAGATGGTAAGTGGTGATCGATTTCGATTGGACACTCCAATCATCATCAGACGCAATAGGGGAATGACAATAATCTTAAATGGCGTCCCTTATATCCTATTCGCTGGCGGAAGTACCGGCCAATACATTTCTATAAGTACTACTGGAGTCCCTTTGCGTGCTCTACAATCAACAGTAAATCTATCTATCCAACTATTCACAAGACCGCATCCTTTAGATCCATATTGTACCGAGCGTATACAATCCCACTTAGCCAAGCCTGGACACTATTAAGAAGATCGCACAAGTTGATGGATTTCAAACCAAAACCATAGAGGACATCGCAAGAAAGACAAGGAGAAAAATCAATAGCCAGAATAAACTACAAAGCAGAATAACATTAGAAGAGATGAAAGAGGAAAACACCAGATATGTCACATTTAGCTACACAGGGACTACAACACAAAGGACTGCTAACAGATTCCAGAAATACGGAGTTTCAATAGCCTTCAGGACTCAGAACACCATGAGTAAAATACTGCATCCTAAAATAGAAGATTATAATAAATTCAACGCTTCGGGCATCTACAAAATCAATTGTAACAATTGTGATATCTTCTACATTGGGCAAAATGTGAACTTCGTTAACCGCTTCAAAAACCACATATCTGCATGGAGGAACAACAAACTGGAAAGATCAAATGTGGTACAGCACCTGTTACAAAATGGCCATGCAATAGGAAAAATGGAGGATAGTCTATGTATTTTAAAGAATTGTAAAAAAGGATTTGTAATGAATGCTTGGGAAGAATTATATATTTATAAGGAAAAATGTAAAAATAGAAATAAGCTAACTAATGAACAAGTACGAATAAATTTCGACTACAGTTGTACTTATAGAAATGTATTGGCCGGTACTTCTGCCAGCCAATAGGATAAAAGTAGGGACGCCATTCAAGATTCTTCTCATTCAGCTATTGGGTCTAATGATGATTGGAGTGTCCAATCGAAATCGATCTTCACTTACCATTTTTATGTATATTTACCATCTTGTGAGTAACAGTATAAGCGTAAATATATGTTTTAAAGTGTTATAAGACGTTTCTTTTATTTACTCTCTGTAAATTTAATAACACGTACAATGCTGATCAAAAAGTTATCTATATGAATAAATGATTATAAATCCATACAATCTTTCACATTTTCAACTCTTTGCAATGATAATGGCACTCTTTGAAAAGAAGAATTGTATGCTAAAAATAATAATATGACCTTCATCTGTGCACGGTGGCAAGTTCAAAGAGGGGAGGGGCTACAGGGGCTTAAGCTCCACCATAGGACCCTGAAAAAAATTATACATTTCATCCTCAACACGTAACAGAGGTTTTTAGATACAGTTCTAGACGTAAAAAATGGATTTATAAAGTTACCAAACGGCTTTTAAAAAAACAACAAATTTTTCAGGGGAAGACCCCAAAATCCTCTTCTTCTCTTGCGAGTGTGGGACACCCCCCCCCCCCGTAGTCCCCCCCTCACTACAAGGGCCTAGAACCACCACTGAAGTGCAGAACTTAGTTTTTCGTATGATCTATTTATCTATTTTTGTAAGATAAATTATTTGAAACCATAGATTTAAAAAGTTAAACCATACACTCAGTGTGAATGAGCCTGAAGAATGAAAAATGAAAGTAACTAACTGAAACATGACACACTAATAACAACAATGATAATGAACACAAGTACAATATCAATTTGTAAATTGGCCCCCTAAGAGAACAGTTTCAGCCCTGTTTCATTTATAATGCATTTAAACAACTTTAAGTTAAAAATCTTTGAAAGTTAACGAGCAATCAGAAAAACTTCAAGCAAATATACTCCATGCTGAAGAGACGTTTAAGATAGGCAAGTTGAAAGCAATTTTAGGGATGATAAATTTTTTAAAAATGTTTTGAAATAAAATATTAAAGGAAGACAACTCTAAGAGTTTATGTATAATAAGTTTCTCATATGCATAAATCAAGTACAAAAACAAATTAAACTTCATTTGGTAGCCTATTTAAATTATCTTTAGCAATATAATTTCATTATTTTTAGCGTGTAGAATAAGATAGAGGAAAGAATCACTACTTGCAGGGTAAAATCATTGATTTTGGATACTGAAAGTATATATACCACCCATATAAACCAGTTGTAGCCAGTATTTCACTCAGCAAAAACGTATTTACTATAAAATAATGTTCTGCTGATGTTTAATTAACAGTCGCATACTCTGTCAGTAGCTCAAATAAACTAAGAGTGCTTTATATAATTAAGGGTTTCAAGCAAGTTCCAGTCCCAGCCAAACTAGTTCAAATCTGACATTATCACTGATGTGATCACTATGTCAGTTCCTATGATTAGTAGCCGATTAGGAGGTGAGACAAAATCAACAATGTCGCCAAGACGCCAAGTATAGATTGTGCTGTAAATAGGTTTTTGTGAGAAAGGGTACAACCACCATTATGATCCATTGTATGTTGGTAAACAAATACAATATGGAGAAAAGTAATATAGACCCAAACAAATGGGTAAATATGTGTATTTTAAAAAACAATCGGCTGCAGGTCATTGGTCTTCATTAAGACAGTTATTCAAGTTGAGGAAACTTTTTTCACTGATTGTGAGTACTACACTGTTGTCCTTGATTCATCCAAGTTCAGCAATCTCTCATTAAAACAAGCTTAATGATAATTATTTTTTAGAATTTTTAAAAAGTTATGATTTAGTTTTTATGTTAGAAACTTTTATTTCAGAAGCTGATATTAATATAGTTTCGGATAAATTGTCAAATTTTAGTTTGTTTTTCAAGTTAGCAGTGAGAGAAGGAAGGGTGGGGAGATATAGTGGAGGGGAAATCATTGCTATCAATAAAAAGTCAAAATTTATTGATTGTTTAGAAGTTGATAAGGTCCATAATTATAATATTGTAAAGGCGAGTTTCATTAATGCACAAAATTCAATTTGTTTCCTGCCATTATATTTAAATTATAACCACTGGGAGCGAGATTTTGAGGAATTAGTTAATTTAATTAGTAATAATGAAATGGATAATTGGGTTCTGTTAGGGGATTTAAACGGGAGAACTGGGGAAGAACAGGGATATTCAGGTGGAGAGATAGGGCATATAACAACAAACCTTGAAGATGGTAGAAGATCAAAAGATAAGACAGTTAATGTGAGAGGGCGTAAGATTCTAAATGTTATGAACAGCATGGGATTTATTATTTTGAATGGGAGATCCAGAAGTGATAAGGACGGGGAGTACACGTTTATAGGGTCAGTGGGTTCTTCAGTTATTGATTATGCATTGGTATCTGTAAACTGTCTATCCATGGTTAGTGATTTTAAAGTTGTGCCATACCCGGGGTCTGACCATCTCCCTTGTGAAGTTAGTTTAATTGCTGTGAGCCCAGGTGCAGAGGGACAGAATGAAGGGAAGCTATTACCTTTATTACCTAAATTAAAATGGTCCACCAATGATTGTTTAAATTACAATGAACGTATTAAGCTGAACTTAGTGCAAGTTAAAATCTCAAATAACAACCAGGACAATGTGAATGAGTTAATGGAGTGTATCTTAAGGTCGGCTGAACACAAACAAAACAATGTCGTAGGAAAAAATAAAGTAGGAAATAAGCAGCCATGGTTTGACTACAAATGCTTAGCTGAAAGAAAAAGAATGTTTAGGCTTCTTAACCTATATAGGAAAACAAATTCAAAGATAGTCAAACTCGATTATATAAAACAGTCAAATATTTATAAGACATTGTGTGTTATAAAGAAAAGGTCTTATTATGATAAAGTTATATTTGATTTAAGTAATATAAAATGTGACAGTAAATCTTTTTGGCGGTCCATAAACACATTAAAAAAGAAAGGTAGTAATGTTGTGGGAGAAATATCGCCTGAAAGATGGATAACACATTTTAGGAATTTATTGAATCCCCCAATCAGAGCAGGTGCGATCAGCTATGCGGAACCACTTATAGATAACTGCCGATTAGATAGTGACTTCACTCTTGCTGAACTGAAGAATATTTTGAAAACATTAAAGTGTGATAAGGCCCCGGGGTCAGATAGAATTCCTTATGAATTTTTCAAAAATGCACCCGAAAATTTTTTGTTTATTTTATTAATAATCTACAACAAAATTTTAAAAAGTGAAATTGTTCCAAAATCTTTCAAAACCTCAATTATTTTCCCTCTACACAAAAAAGGAGACCTCGATTTAGTTGAAAACTACCGTGGATTATCTTTTATTGATAGCGTGGCCAAAATTTTCACAAGTCTCATAAACAATAGAATACAAACGTGGGTTCAAGAAAATGAAATATTAACGGAATTCCAAGCGGGTTTTAGGAAAGGTTACTCCACCATTGATAACATTTTTAATCTTGCTTGTATGGTTAAGTTACGTCTATCACAAAAAGGGGGGAAACTTTATGCGTTTTTTGTTGACTTTAGTGCGGCTTTTGATACAATCGATCGAAAATCAATGTTTTTTAAACTGTCAAGTTTGGGATTATCGACGCGCATGCTGAATGTATTAAAAAACTACTACAACAACACCAGTTCGAGTGTGTGGTGTGAAGGAGGTGTAACTGACAGTTTCGAAACTAACACAGGTCTGAGGCAAGGCTGCAATCTCTCACCGACTTTATTCAGTTTATTTATCAATGACCTGCCGGAGGCGGTAGGAGGTGGATGCCATTTTGGTGGATCGAAAATAAATATGTTGCTTTACGCTGATGACATTATTCTTCTGTCTCCAACTAGTACCGGGCTGCAGCACATGATAAACAATTTAGAAACCTACTGTAGGACATGGAATTTAACTGTAAATTTAAATAAATCAAAGATTATTGTTTTTAGAAATGGTGGGAAATTGAAGACGAGCGACAAATGGTGGTATATGGGTAAAATTATTGAGGTGGTAAATGAGTACAAATATTTAGGAATCACGTTCACAAGTTCCCTTTCATGGAGTAATCATTTCAAAGAAAAAGCCAGAATAGGTCAATTTGCTGTTAATTCAGTCTGGAGTGCTTTATTTAAAAACCCAAAAGTACCGCTATGTTCTAAAATGTGTTGTTTCGAAGCGGTAGTGCGAGCTACAATCTGCTACGGAGCTCAGGTGTGGGGATGTATAGAAAGCGATCAAATAGAATCTGTTCAAAAAATATTTCTCAAAAAATTATTCTCTTTACCTTTTAACACACCAAATTATGCATTATATTTGGAAACATGCTGTGAAAAGTTATACTTTTATACTTTGAATGTAAATCTAAATTATTTATTGAAATGTTTAACGTTACCAGCAGGGAGATTGCCCAAAATTTTAGCTAAACAAATTATTTCAAGGAATGTATTTTGGAGTAAAGAATGGAAGCTTCTGGGACAACAATTTAATATAAATATCAATTTTCAAAATGATGATTTAGCGGAGCTTAGCGAACAGTTGAGGTCGGTAGCGGAGGGGCTACGTTGTAGGTGGAGGGGGGAGTGTGTTGGGCGAGCGCGCACCTCCGTCCATCACAGCCAGTTACTCACGCTCGACCTTGAACTTGGAGATAAGAGTCCCCTCAAACTCAACAATACTCGTACCATTTCGTGGATTCTTAAAGCAAGATTAGAGCTTATCAACCTGAACTACAAGCCTTGGCTCAATCAAAATTATAGATGTTCTTTATGTAACCTAAATGAAAATGAAACAGTCTATCATTTTATTGCACTTTGTCCCATTTTAAAACACATAAGACATTTGTGGCTGGGAAAACTTTTTTTAAACGAAATAGAATATCATCAATTTATAAATGGGAGGAATTGGCGAGCTTTAGCTAGTTATCTAGAAAATGCTTGGAAGTATAGATGGGAGATAGTGACAGAATTTAACTTTTGAATCTAAATAATTGTATATGAAACTCGTCTACAGATAAGTTAGGATCAGTATGTTTTTTGTTTTTTATCACTTATGTAATAATATTTCGTTCTCTCTTATATCTTTTATCTTATGTCTTTATTTCAGAAATATTAATAAATCTTTTTAGTGCTCAATAGGCCTACTATAAAATCTTAAGTAATGGAAAAACTCTAGTGCCAACAAAACAGACGGTTATTAACCATTGTTTTTATGTGTCTGTGAAAAAAAATGTATTTATGTTCTAAATTGTACAATAAAGCACATTTTCATTTCATTTCATTCATTTCATTTCATTTCATGTAAATTTAATAACACGTACAATGCTGATCAAAAAGTTATCTATATGAATAAATGATTATAAATCCATACAATCTTTCACATTTTCAACTCTTTGCAATGATAATGGCACTCTTTGAAAAGAAGAATTGTATGCTAAAAATTATAATATGACCTTAATCTGTGCACAGTGGCAAGTTCAAAGAGGGGAGGGGCTACAGGGGCTTAAGCTCCACCATAGGACCCTGAAAAAAATTATACATTTCATCCTCAACACGTAACAGAGGTTTTTAGATACAGTTCTAGACGTAAAAAATGTATTTATAAAGTTACCAAACGGCTTTTAAAAAAACAACAAATTTTTCAGGGGAAGACCCCAAAATCCTCTTCTTCTCTTGCGAGTGTGGGACACCCCCCCCCCCCCCCCCCCGTAGTCCCCCCCTCACTACAAGGGCCTAGAACCACCACTGAAGTGCAGAACTTAGTTTTTCGTATGATCTATTTATCTATTTTTGTAAGATAAATTATTTGAAACCATAGATTTAAAAAGTTAAACCATACACTCAGTGTGAATGAGCCTGAAGAATGAAAAATGAAAGTAACTAACTGAAACATGACACACTAATAACAACAATGATAATGAACACAAGTACAATATCAATTTGTAAATTGGCCCCCTAAGAGAACAGTTTCAGCCCTGTTTCATTTATAATGCATTTAAACAACTTTAAGTTAAAAATCTTTGAAAGTTAACGAGCAATTAGAAAAACTTCAAGCAAATATACTCCATGCTGAAGAGACGTTTAAGATAGGCAAGTTGAAAGCAATTTTAGGGATGATAAATTTTGTAAAAATGTTTTGAAATAAAATATTAAAGGAAGACATCTCTAAGAGTTTATGTATAATAAGTTTCTCATATGCATAAATCAAGTACAAAAACAAATTAAACTTCATTTGGTAGCCTATTTAAATTATCTTTAGCAATATAATTTCATTATTTTTAGCGTGTAGAATAAGATAGAGGAAAGAATCACTACTTGCAGGGTAAAATCATTGATTTTGGATACTGAAAGTATATATACCACCCATATAAACCAGTTGTAGCCAGTATTTCACTCAGCAAAAACGTATTTACTATAAAATAATGTTCTGCTGATGTTTAATTAACAGTCGCATACTCTGTCAGTAGCTCAAATAAACTAAGAGTGCTTTATATAATTAAGGGTTTCAAGCAAGTTCCAGTCCCAGCCAAACTAGTTCAAATCTGACATTATCACTGATGTGATCACTATGTCAGTTCCTATGATTAGTAGCCGATTAGGAGGTGAGACAAAATCAACAATGTCGCCAAGACGCCAAGTATAGATTGTGCTGTAAATAGGTTTTTGTGAGAAAGGGTACAACCACCATTATGATCCATTGTATGTTGGTAAACAAATACAATATGGAGAAAAGTAATATAGACCCAAACAAATGGGTAAATATGTGTATTTTAAAAAACAATCGGCTGCAGGTCATTGGTCTTCATTAAGACAGTTATTCAAGTTGAGGAAATTTTTTTCACTGATTGTGAGTACTACACTGTTGTCCTTGATTCATCCAAGTTCAGCAATCTCTCATTAAAACATATTGCGGTGTATGTAAAACTTCCCTAACTTTCACTAAATGAAATACAATTGATGAATAACTGAAGCTGGTTTACCATAGAAAACATGGTTCAATTGTTTCTGGCCACTCCTAATTAATCCAGCATCTTTCCTTTCAAACACCTCTCCAGTTCTCCCCATTCACATCTGTCAACTGGCAATTTACATTAAAAGGGCTCCTCTAAAAGAATCTGTACATGGTGTAAATGTAACCGCAGAACACAATTCATAACTTGACGAAATCGTTGATTTTCCCTCACATCGCTGAAAACAAAAACGATGATGAAACCAATTATCACATAGGGGTTCGGCTATAATAGTAGTCAGAAAAGGAAAACACAAGTGTCATATTTTAACTAACTTGCTTGGCTGCCACTTTAATTTCTTTATTCAACACTGGTAATTTATGATCACTCTAAAACTGGCAATATGTTTATATGGATGGAATGTCTACTTCACAGAAATATGTCTATAGTCAAAGGTAAAATGCAAGGGCTATAGTGCAGCTACTCAGGGGACCTTGATGATATATAGGTTACGGTACCAGATCATAATTGTCATAAAGGCCGGGGGCAGCCTTGGAGGGTGGGTCCAATCCAAGTACCTTTTCCATTTTGGAGAGATGAAGGGCGTAGCGGTCGTGAGCTCGGAACTGCATAAACCTCATGTTTGAGGACTGGGACAGCTCGGTTATACTCTTTATGCTTGGGAAAAATCTGAAAAATTCAAAGTGGAGTTAGATATTTTTAACAACACTAGATGAAAATTGTCACTTGTATCCAAAACAAAACAATGAATGCATACATTTTTCAGTACAGTTTTGCTCATCCAACTCAGCTGTTGTATGGTCACACAAACAGAAATAAAATTGAATAACACAGAAAATATGAAAGGATATATAGCCCTTTCAGACCCGGGAATCTTTGTCATCTCGACCGCTTTAAGTCCTGAGCAAATTTTGACTAAATGTTGGTTTTTAACCTAGATTTCAAATACTAAAATTATTGATTAGGTTTTCTTTAAAGACGAAACCTTCATAATACCATATTAACCATTTCAGTTTCAGCAATAATTAGCATTATATACGTTTAAAAACATAAAACAGTCATTAACTTTAACAGTTGCCTCTTTCTCCTATTTTACCGTGACATTGCAACAAAACAATCAGTGTTACCATAAGACATGAAGGCAGACTGCAAAACAAAAATTCCCAGCTGATCTCCATAACCTACACAATCGATGCGTACACTGTACAGGTCTGAGCAACAGAAAGATCCGGTGGGACACACGGGAGGGACTAAGGCTAACATATCTTGTAGTGTAAGCGTTCGCCGCTAGAACCGCTAAGTTGAAAAAAATTTAAATAAATTTTTAAAATTTTTTGTTATAAAATTAACTTTTTAATTATAAAATAATTTTTAATAAATTATAAAATAAATTTTTATTTTAAAATTAAACAGTCATAACAACATAACCTAACCAACCAGACTTGCTGATAATATAAAAACTATATAAAATAAAAATCTAATTAATGATAACTTATAATTTTTAATTATAAAATTAATTTTAAAATGTAGTATTATAAAATTAAACTGGCATAACTTAACCTAACCAACCAAACTCGCTGATACTATAAAAAAGATAAAAGATAAAATTTGAATAAATGTTCAATATTTAAAGCAAAGTTCTGTTCATAAATAAAATTATAAATGTATCAAATTCTAACAAAAGATGTACAGTTAAGAAGTATTTGCATTCTAAGCAAAAATCGTTGACAAAAAGTTATTGATCCCGGCTGGTTTTATTTCGAACCCAGGCCCTCCTGAACACCGATCCAAAACGCTATCACTTAAGCCACGAACGCCACTGAAATCACATTTTCTCGTTACGGTAATCGTGTTGTCTCAAGAGAATACATTAGCCACTAGAGATATGACGTCACTACACTTTTAGCCTTAGTCCCTCCTGTGTGCCAGCTCCCAGAAAGATCCAGAAACTTCAAAAAAACAAATAAACATCTAACCTAAACAATCGTGTTGGTTAGGTTGTCAAGACTTAAAAAATTTACCTACACAAATGAGTGTGCTGGGTCTGAAAGGGATAGGAGAGACAGGGCCGTTATTATAAATAGGCCTGGGGGCAAGAGGTTTTAGGTTTGAAGAATGGCAAGGATGAAAACAAATTACCTTGTGGGAGGTGGAGAGTGGCACAACTACCTCTTGGTCTCATAGCGTATCACATACAAACCGCGAGCATGAGGAGAGATGTGTAAATGGTATCAAGTAAAACCCTAAACTTTCCACTGAACTCTAAACCTAAACCTAAAAAGTAGAAGATAATGATGCTCACTTGAACATGGTTTGTACCGCCACAATAGTGTTGCAGTCAGCTAGTGTGTCTTCCTCGGCAGAGTTGGAAAGCTCTTTGTTGACAACCACAACATTCTCTGCCAAGGTAATACCAGCTCTCAACAAGTCATCAAGGCTGTAAAAAATGAGCTTCAATAATTAAAAGCTTTGAGTATTGATACAATATCCAATAGTATATAACATCAGTAGGCTACATCAAATAGTCAATTTATATTAGTAAATATTAGTAAATATATTATTGGTTTTGTGTAAAAAATATAATTTGATTTTACAGATAATCTTTTTCAAAGAAACAGGATTTGGATATTTTTTGACTATTGATTATCTAACAGTAAAATTTTGTAAAAAAATGGGAATTATTTAAGGAAATTTGGTTATTTAAAATAGGTTACTATAAATTTATACAGAGAAAGGAAGGATATACAGCTAACTCACCTAAAGAATGAGTCCCAGGAGGTAAATAGAACACATATAAGCAACACATTTAACTGAAATATCAGTTAAATGTGTTACTTTCCACTTCCAGTAAAATCTATATGAAAAGTATTGTCATAGTCTCCTCTAATACAAGGCCAAAGGAGACAAAAACGGCAACCTCACTGTCCCAGCAAATCAAAACTTGCACTGATTGATAATGAAGCATATAGGGGATAAGCAATATTTATGTTTTCACTTTTGTGATTTCTGTTAACAATCACCATGGCATTAGGCATGCCATTGCGACACTGCCACACACCAACCAACGCCACGACCTTGTATTAGAGGATGCTATGGCATTGTCCATCATAATGCACACTCAGAAAAAAATCAATGAAATTAAAACCAAACTTCTTAAAAAAAATTTTCTAGTGAAGATTGCTTTCCAATTTCAAGTCCTGATACCTGATTTCAGTCTTTTCTCTCCCCTCAAAACAATCAGCCTACAATCTCATTGATTTAGAAAATGAAGAAAAAAATCAGAAAACATAAACGTAAAGTTTTATAGCAATTTCATATTGTTTAAAATATAGAGGTAGAAAATCAACTGTGGTAGTTTTGTTCACTCCGTATCTCACCTACCCAACTTCCAACATTTGAAACAGTCAACAGAACTCAAGCTCCAGCTAGCCCAGAGAGGATCAACTCACCAATCTATGGAACCCAGCATCCAGTAGATGAGGGGGAAGTAGGAGACTGCGTCTAGGAAAGCAATGTCCGGTCGCCTCTCCAGCAACAGTATGATTGGATTGAGGGATGTTTTTGTCCGGAAGTGAGCTCTGAGCGGGATGATAAAGTTGTAGATTCCATTACTAGCGTAGTCCGCAGCCAGTATGATGGTCTTGTTCTGCCAGTTGTATTCTTTGGCGTTTCTATGAGTACAATGCTCGCACACCTGGGTTAACGCACACATATGAGCACGCATATGGTTAATTTTTAGACATGTAGTTGAAAAATTGAAACACAGGATCTCATTGTGAATTATCTGCTTTCTTTTCTTGCTATTGTCATTAACTCACCCTTTTAAATGCAAACGTTTATGAACTATTATTTGAATTGAAGTCTTTGCAAATTTCTACTTACTTTTAAAGTTTTAAATCCCAACTAACACAATTCTAATTAAATTTTTAAGATCTTTTCAGTACATATAATGTTTTAAATATAATGCTTCTAACTGCTCTAGGTTTAATTGAGAATTTCTGTGTTACCGTTACACACAGATATTAATAATCCGTATTTTTATATTTACTTGTGTGAAATGTCTTCAAAAAATAATGTTCCATACTCCAGTTCTATTGTATTCCAGCATTTTTTTTGTCAGAAAGTATAATATTTCAATAAAATAACAGTATCAGAGTACAGTAAATCTTTTTCAAGAAACAAATGGACAGAAAAATAAATCTAACAAAAATGATTCACCGAAAAGCAACCTAGCTCAGTGATAAAGCATTCAGGCCAATACACCCTTAATCAATCTATTAGTAGTTATACTGTCCCTTCCAGTTGTCACACTCATCTATATTATCTAGCCCCACCTAATAGTGATTGTGAAAATGTATTTAAACAATTTTAAATTTATATCCGAGTGGTTAATGTCTTGGGCTCGGTGCAAGAGAGATATGTTAATCCTTTCCATATCCAAACAAATTTGACAGGTTCGAAACATTTCCCATCAACAATTCGGCGATTCTTCTTCACAAACAGCCACTGGTTTAGACACTAACAAAGACACCTAAATTTATTAAAAGCGATAATTACCTGTGCGAGCTGAAGGCAACAAAGTGGTTTTTTCTCCTTGAGGAGATAACACAGGGTAGGACTAACCCCTATGTAGGGCGAGACAGGTGGGAATCCTTTCACAATGCTGCAACAAACGAGCAAAACATACAGACAAATGTTAACAGAGCTACAAAGTTAATGTAATTGGCTTAAACTTGGCCATGATGCTATATGACAGTGTAAAAGAAGATCACTAAATCAGTAAAATGATAAAACTTCAATCATTACAAACAACCAAAGTAGATTTTACTGCAGAGGCCTTTGTTTTACATGTAGAGTACATACTAGGTTTTGTCAGAGATGTGACAATCAAACTTAGACAAAATATAAGATTCCCTGCCTGTTGTAGTTAAAGTAAGGTTAAAATTGTCTAAGGAATAAAAAAAGAGACTCCTTCTCACTGAATGATTATTGAAAGCCATTAAAATAACATTTCTATTTTGCTAGGTACTTTTGAATGAGTCTTTTTTTGTGGCGTAGAATTACAATGTGCAAAATACACTCTTGACCGAATCACAGTTCATGGTAAACAGTAATATAAATATTTTACTGAATTATTATTTCAAAAATTATTATTACTAATTAAAACTAAAATTAATTAATTAAAATTAAAATTAATTAATTCAAATTCAAATTAATTAATTAAAATTATTATTACTAAAAATAGTGGGGAGAAATTTCTAATCTTAAGTTAAACTGCCTAAGATTTATTATGTGACAGCAAAATAAATATAGAAAGGTAAAAAGTATATCCAATAAACAAATATATTTCAAGCAATAAGAGCAAACAGGACTAACAAAAAATGCACAATCATGCTCAGAAGATGTTCAAATGCACACAGCTGTGAAAAAAGACATGATGAAAATATGTACACTAAAAATCATCTAACAGGAAAAGTGAGTACGAGTGATTTATACAATTTTATTATATTGTGAATACTGAGTTTAAATGACATCCTGAGATTTAAGATGCAAAAAATTTCAAAAATGTATGTGATTGACTGGGTTCTCATAGTTCTTCACTGTAGCCTATAATTGATTACGGTATTCTAAAGAAAATTATTGTCATTGTCTTTAAGGATAAACAAAAAATTGTTGTGACTATCTTTCTAGAAAGCAATCTAAATAACTCGGAAATAGAAAGATTTTACAGGTCTTTCGAACATTAAATAACACTTAAAAAACAGACCTTATGTATTAAACGTGACATAAAAATCGCCAATTAATATTTAAACTTTAAACCTAAATTAAATTCTAAGTTAATAAAATTTAACATAACTGATTCAAAAATTACTACACGATAAAAAATATTTAATTTAGACAAGAGTACAGTACTTAATCCTACGATTTGAAGCTCTGCTCTATAAAAAAAACCTCATATCGAATTATAAAATAAAATAAAAATATATGACTGCAACAAACTCAAAGGTTTGCAATGGTATACAAAATTAAACATTTATATGAGTAGTGAAAGCACAATAATGTGATTTGGCACAAAAAAGCAAAGCAGCTGTTTTGTGAACAGGAATCATGTTTCAGCTGAACTAATATAAAAAAAATATATTATTTATAGGTTAGCAAATTACTCTTTTGCTTAACCTGAAGGTATTTTGTATGAACTAGATTGATATATAAGCATGGCAATGTAAGTACCTTAAGTAAAATGACAAACAAATCATTTTACTTATTAATTCTTGTTGTATGAATGAAAAATAATATTATAAATTCCTTCTAATTTTTTTCATAAATGAATAACACTTAATGGGACTTAGTTAGTCTTATATGGTGGTGAATCAGAAAATGAACAGCTATACACAGAATTTACACTTAACCGGGGTAGTGAAACAAATTTAAACAAGGGAAGGTAAAATATAAGTAATACTGGACTTGGATTTGAAAGGAAAAAGTATTAACAAACCAATACTGTCAACAAAAGTTTTTCAAGAGAAAAAAATACCTTACAAAATAAATTAGTAATTTCTGCAAAGTAAATATTTTTTTGCTTAAAATTTAAAAACTTCTGCAACTGAAATGCTTTTGACTTAGGTAAAAACAGTCCACTAGATAAGTATAGCAAAGACACATGTAGTTTTTGAGCCAGGCCAATCTTGAGAAAAACCAATAGCAGCTATTTGATGGGTTGGAACTGGGCCCAGTTGTTATTCTTAATCTTGGGCTTTAAAAAAGATCCTTTCTAAAGAAACAGCAGATATTAGACAGTAATAAAACTACATAGATCCCCTAGTCAAAACTAGGGGACATATTTATATCAAACATATTTACCCTATCAACATATACCCTAGTCAAACATATTTATATGAAATTACAATGATTCTGTCTGTGTCACAATGTTCTGATAATATAGATAGGAATTCAAGAAGGAGTGTTAACGTGTAATTTGTGTATAGCTGATTTCCAAATGAAACAAGTTATTTAAGTAACCACCTTTGAAAGCACTAGAAAGAACTTTGAGTAAGAATACCAGAGCAAAGTTACGGTCCCTCGAGTATTTTTGCACACAAAAACATAGAAAGCCCAATCTGTCATTTAATATTGTGTGTAATTTAATAAGTTGATACTTTATTACTTTATTCTGAAATGGCTACCATACAATTGTTAGTTAATAGCTACCCTACCGAAACTCATTTAGTGTGATATCTTTGTAAGTGTTGTTAGTATACATAATATTTGGAGGGATATTTTCTGAACACCTTGACTAAGTATGTGAAATTCATTACGTTTTCTTGTTTTATTTGTGTGTTCTGTCCGTGATGCTCATGCCCAGTTAGTTTCTGGGTTGGTTCTGTATCCTGTGGCTTTACTTCAATGCGTTTTACAAAGTATTTTAAATTTTTACATAGAATAATGAGTTCTTTTAGCGGATTTCTCATATTATAGGGGATAAGCTATTACCGTAGTACTCATGGTAAGACCTGGACCCACAACCGATTTACTTTTTCGTTTTGAGGTACCTCGAGGCCAAAAACACCATCCGTTCAAATGCATATAAAAAGTTGGTAAACATTGGTTTTTCCCATTTTTCAACAAAAAAATCAAACTTAACAATTTCTTTCAAAATTATTTTGTAGAGCTTAAAAAAAATTAATTTAGTATATTGAAGTGTTATTACTTATTATGCGCCTAATCCTTATAGAGAAATTCCAAAAAAAGTAAATTTAAAATTCCCATGTTATTCTTATGGAGAAAAGTAAACTATTGTAGTTTGCTTGTTTATGAACATATTTGGAAGATGCATTAATTTCTACTAGACTATTAACATTTTACAATAACAATTTTGTTACCCTCCCTGTTGCAGTAAACTTAAGTAGGCCCTACTAGTTAAACTAATTATATTTAAATAGGGAATAAATGTAATATTTTTATGGAGACATTTCAGTCTAAATCCAATCAGGCAAATTGAAATTCGCTTAGTCTGCAGGTTTGCTGCAGCGGGGGTATTTGGTTCTTTATTGCTCAATACACGTAAACATTTTCTCTTTTCCTGAATTGAATAGTTAAGTATATTTATCGCGAGAGTGGAGGTAAGGAAAATGCTACCAACTCTTAATTAATATTTTGGAAATCCATTGTTTATTTTTAGGATTTTTCCGTTCTCATCGACTACCAAAGCAAAGAATTAGCCCTGCATCAAAGGTGCACTGCACTCAAAATTGACAGCTTAGATAAGATTAAAACACTTCAAAACTTGTATTACACTACTATCTCTTTGCAATATGGTGTTATTACCATGATATAGTGTTACAATACAAGAGAAATACAATCCTATAAAGAAACATAAGTCCATCACTAGACAATAGTAACAGAGTGTCATAGTGTTACCTTCAGATTTAGTACATTTAAAACCATGATTCATGGTTTAATAAAGTAATGAACTTATTTTTTGGGAAGTTCATAAGGTTACCGGTATCGTTTACAGTTAAAATGGTAAGAGTGAAGGACGTATGAAAAAAATGAACAGTTTGCCAACATACCCCCTTTTTTGTCCAATGACGCTAGGCACGAGCCCGGAATTGTTTTTCACATTACTTCAGACTAGACCTAGGGGTTGCGGCATTATCACTTGGATAAAATCCATTGGGGATTTGGCAGGATTTAAACATGGGACCTCACGGACCGAAGTCCCGCACTCTAACCACTACACCAGCTCGCTCCCCCAACATACCCCTTTGGCCTGTACATTTGTACAGAGCCATAAGTTTTGGGCAAGCTGCTGTGACGATAGTTATGAGCATGCTCTGGTTTATCAGCTCAATTCGCTATCACTGAACTAAATGGTGGTTGAGCTTTGTCACTAATTTCGTCAAACTTTAAAAATAAAATTTGCATACTACTTTCCCCTTGTACCCATGTGTAATAAGTAATAAGTGTATGTAATTGTGTGTGTAAGCCGTGTATATGTTTGTTAGACAGACAAAACTTTCTGCGGTTCAGTGTGAACAAAACACTGGGGTAACCGCATTGCTGGTCGCGGTGAATGTGACGCATGAAGCAGTGGGTCGAGAGTTACTCACTTGGCCCAGTCCTGACGCCACGAGGGTTCTGTGCCGAGGGTCGGCGAGAGGTCATCTGCAGCTGAAACAAGGAGGCTGCCGAGCGTGCAACATGAGTACGAGAACGAGAACATGCCGAAAGCAACAACATCATACAATACAGAGGCAATGGGCAAACAACATACGAGAACATATACCAGTTGTTTCTCACAAAGTTTGTAATATCACAGAGTTCAAAACATGTAATATGGTTTCATTATTGTTGGACAATGAGTTTTAAACATAAGTAAAGCTTCCACAGTAATTAACACAAACAAGGCAAACTTGGTATTCTGGGTAAGATCAGTTCACAGACAGAAACTTATAACTAAGTGTTGACGTTTAGAACTTACTGCTGACAGCCATCTTCAGAGCAGTTCACTAGCATCAGAGTAAGGCCGTTGACTGTAAATCCTTAAGGATACAAACAACGGTAAGGCTCTACCATTGGCTGCTTATCTCCTTAGAAATACTCTGAAGATGGCTGTCAGCAATAAGTTCTAAACCTTAACACATAGTAATACGTTTCTGTCTTTGTCACAGTGATACCCAGAAGACCTTATAGTTTATAGTGTTACTGAGTTTCAAAATAAAAATCCAACCAAGAATTATTTAATTACATTTTTGTATTTACAAATTATTTATTTGTCTAATTATTTTTTACTGCCCATTCAAATGATATCTAATTGTTATATTGAGCTGATTCGAAACCCTAAATCTTACATTGATAAAGATATATTAATATACAGATATATTTTAATTTAAGAGTTTAAGGATTGTTATTTATATTAAATTTAAGCTAAATGAAATAAAATCTAAGAGAGCCTTAAATTCTTGGTCATTTTATTGTTACTAACAAAATTATAAATGGTGGTTTAAGATTTAAGATTCTTTTTTAAGATGTTTTTTTTTTAAATATGTAGTCATAATCAATAAAAAAATGTCAACAAAACAAATGAAACAAAACAATATCTATATTTGTAAATATCAATAACAATATTGCAAATCCTATAAGTTACGGTAAGTCTAAATACTTTTTGAGAATACCAAAAAATCTGAATAAACTGAAGTGCGGAATGTGCTGTCAACACCAAAGCCAGTTCAAAACCTCCCAAGATTAATTGAGATAAAATTTAGATGAAATGTAAAATTAATGGTTACCAAGTTAACATATGGTCAATAACTTAACTTTGAATAGCATAATTTTAATGTACTTGAATTCAATCTCTTCCAAATTTTTCCAAACAGCTTACAATTCATGTCAAATACTTTGCTTCTCTTAATCATTGGAACAGTTTAGTTTAACATCGATTCTTCTTTCGTATTTGTTTTTTCTTTCGATTCTTATTTTATTTTTTCATTAATTCGATCAAAAGCAATTATGGATCCTTTTTTATAAATTTTTGGCCGAAATTACCCAGTGAACACTAAAATAGTAGATGTTTCTTAATTTAGTTTGAACCAAGCAGATTTATTCTGAACTTGAACAAAAGCAATATTACCTTGAAATAAATCACTTTATAGACAACTAAAGAGGATACCAGTCAATTAAACTATACATCTTACTACAAAATACAAAATCAAAGAATACAATTTGATCTTCATAATGTTTACTCATAAGAGGAAATTCTTAGATTTGGAACATTTTTACCAACCCAACACCATCTTGTGAAACATAATATCTCACTCTAATATAAAAACGTTAGGGTAGATAGGACTCTATCACACTAACTCTATCTATGGTCCTAAAACACAATTTTATCCATCAAACTGGACACCAAGAAAACTGGAATGTCTACAGTGCAAATAGATAGTGAAGAAGAATTTGTTGGTGAAGAGGAAGAAAAAGATTGTTTAGTAGACATGAAGTGACGTTAACATGCTAAGTAGGGAGGGGGAACTTACGCAATCTTTTCACTAGGAGATCTCCATGGGACGTCGTCTTCCATCTCGTCTTCACTCTCGTCCCCTTCGTCCTGTGGCCCTGCGTTGATGTTGAGAGTGGAACACGTCATAGTGTCCGGAACTGGGAGAATGCTGGGCCTTCTGCTTCCTAATAAACATTTCAGTTAAGTATAGTGTAGTACATTATTTCATATTACATACATTATTTCTCTGTCGGATAAGGTGCTTGTAAATTGTAGTATGTCATGATGCAGATTGACCTGATAAAGATTCCTGTGGTCCAATCATCATGCCATCCTCAACAAACTTTTCAGAACACATCCTGATCAAGCGACACTTTCCCAGCGAGTACTTCCTCAGATTACCATGAGCTCACGTGATGTTACCTAACCTCCGTACCACTCCTGTCTGTATCGGTCTCGGCATGTTAACTAATGGTGTTCTCCTTTCATTCCCAGTAATCCTGTAGGTCACATTTTGTCCAAGATATTCTCCATACAAAGAAGCTAAAGCTTGACCGAGATGCAGTCTAGGTCATATTGAATGCCAGAAACGGCACGAGCCCTGAGGGCTTAGGTCACACGTTGACCTGACCTGAAGTAATGTCACAAACAATCCCAGGTCTGTGTCCAACAGAGTAGAGGGGGTTTTTTAGTGAGTAGTCTGACAAGCTCAGGAGTCTCACACTACAGGCTGGCTACCTGTGTGCGTAAAAGAATTTTTACCTCCTCTCCCTAAAAAAAATCTCAAAATTGGTAGTAAATATTTAACAACCAATTAGCACTTCTAACTTAAATTTTCTCTACATTTTTTTTTGTTTTTTTTTTGTCCTAGGACGCTAGGCACGAGCCTGGGATTGTTTTTCACATTACTTCAGGCTAGACCTAGGGGTTGCGGCATTATCACTTAGATAAAATCCATTGGTGACTTGGCGGGGATCGAACCCGGGACCTCACGGACCGAAGTCCCGCGCTCTAGCCACTACGCCAGCTCGCTCCCCAAATTTTCTCTACATAGCACGGCAAACTTTGAATGGAGGACTGAAGATGGGGTTGATTTGATGGGAGATGAGGTGAAGATGGTTAACAGAATAGTTGAAACTGAAGAGAGTACAATTTATACATGAGTATGTCTCATGTGTATGTAAATTGAGTCAAGTCATTACCTCTTCTCTGGTTGAGGATCTCAGGACTAAGGAAGTTGGGGTTGGTGTCAGTAGGTTTAGGCACTCCAAGATGATTCCCTGTGGCCGTCTGCTCGGCTGATTGAGGCTTGGGCTTCTGCTGACCTGTTGTCACTGTGTCATGTGTTTCTGTAGGAAGTAAGAAAAAAAACCTTAAAATTTGAATCTAAATTATTTAAATAAACATCCAAAACATGTACAAACACAAATATTGGTAAAGAATTAACTTGACACTGTGGTCAATCATCACTGAGATATGCTGAAACGTGCATGTGATTCGGCGAATATTATTTGCTTCAATGCCTTACTTAATTACTAGCAAAACTACCCCGCACATGCCTGGGTAAAAATATGTCTTTACCTCAACTTTATTTGTTACCTGTATTTGTGTACACAACCCCAAAAGGTTTGAATATTTGAGGTGTATTGCCTATTCTATTTGATTATTATTGTTTACAAAATGCAAATACACGCTTAAAAATGTCACAATGATGACAACACACTTGTTTGAAAATTTTTTTGTCAATAGTAACATATTTAACAACTGCCACATAACGTAAACCAACATTAGCATTAATGTGTCTACCTGAATAAAACATTGATTTATGATTTAATCACATAAAATTGAAATTTAAAGCTAACTACTCTATATTGGTTTTGTGAAAGAGTAAAGGGTGAAAAGGTGGGGTGAAGGGGGGTGGGGGGTGAAGGGGGGGTTTCTTGAATACAATTTTTTGCAGTGCACCATTGCAAAATGATATTCTGGTCTGTTACATACCATCAGTCTTTGTAATAGCGTCTGGGTTGGCGTTATTTGCTACCACAAACGCAGAGTTCTCCTCCTTAGTAATGCTCATGTAGTAACAAGTATCAGTCTTCTTCATGATGTGTCGAGGGCCTGGGTTCAGTAGTATTGTGTCCTCGTAAAACTCTGGTAGTTCTGCCGGCCTCACGCCCACCAACGCCACTCCATACCTGTAATAGCAACTTGTCAGTCAACTTATAAAATATGATTCCAAACTAGTTTGGAAAATCAGTTTGTGTTTCATTTCCAGAGAATTACTGAAATTATCTCAAGCCATATTACGGAAAAGTTTTGGGAAAGTTTGATTTTCCATCAAATTAACAATCCTAAGAATTAAGTAGCTTTTTTACTTTTCATGTACCGGTAATCTAATTCACAGTTCTTTTCCTATTTCAAAAAGTCCCTCTTGGCATTTGTGCTGGGATTGTTAGGAATGAGTCCCATTATATTTTGATACAAAGGGTTTAGCACATATACCAGCAAATGAACATCCATGTAAAGACACGAGTGGAAATTGTCCCAGACACATAGGCCTATACCTAACAGCTTAATTGTACAAATCAAAAGACTACGGGTAGGTAGATAAGATAAAAATTGCCAATTATCCAGTTCTCACGGGTGTCGCCGCCATAGGGGACATGGGGGACGCGTCCCCCCCAATATTTGAAAAGTCAGTTTTGTCCCATCCCAAATTTAGCTGTAGACATGCTAGGGCAAAGGCGAGTGCCAAGTGCGCGAGCGAGGACGGGAAAACAGCTGATTTCCTTATGTTCCATACTCATAGTTATATAGTTGTGAGACTGTCTGCTAGCCACTGACTTTACATAGGCATCAATCAGCAATCAGCGGTAGCACCAGTAGCCTATTACCATTGAATATATAAACACTAGTGTTAAAGTTTATATAGGCAATGCACTGAATTCGATACTATAGGCTACATATTGTGACAGATCTATGAAATGGAGAAAAATGTAAGGTTAAAAAACGTGTTTACCTAACCCGCCATGTTAAACTTCCCTATCCCAAGCGTGATGTATACAACTTCCTTACTTCTCGAGTGATGTAAAGTTGAAAAAAACTCACTCGGTGATGTAATGAAACCCATTTAAATAACATTGAGTGGATAACTTAAAAAATATACCTCTATGGAGCCAACGGAGTTCAACGCTAGAAATCAGCTGTGTGTTTGAATGTTATTGTTATGCTTTGAAGAATTTTCCTAACCTAGCTTTTGTTTGTAAATGAACGTTACTGTTAGAAGATGAGTGAAATTGATAATGAAGCATATTGCTCGTAACCTCCTGAATATTGTCGGGTCAGGTAAAATCTTGTACGTTACATGTTACGCAAGAGCGTGTTTACATCACTTCGGTGAATTATGCAACGAGCGAAGGCGAGTTTCACCCGCGTGATGTAAAAACGCTCTTACTACACTTGTAATGTAAATAGCTATTACTTGCTTGCATGGCATATTGAAATGGAAGGTTTTATGACAATTGGGCACAGTCCTAAAGTTTTTAGGAGATATGGCTTCGTAGTCTACAGTAGGCCTATGTTTTGAAATTCATGAATGCAAGTTCGTCATAGTTTGATTTTTAAAATGTCTACTTGCTCATGACAAAGACAAATAACAAGTGAAACGGGAGGTTTTTGGACAGTTGGACACAGATATAGACTTTAACCCTCCGAGTGTCACGCGTCATAAAAATGACGCACAACACACTTTGTGTAGGGTCACGCGTCACTTTTATGACGCACAAACATCGTTTACGGCGAAGGCTCTATGACTGACTGAATCGGATTGAACTGGATCGAGTTAGGTATCGTTCTTTCCGTAATATTCTAAGCTTTCTCCAGAGGTCTGTCTCTAAGCGCTATTGTAGCAGACAGCTGACGTGCGTGTATTTGTAAACAGCTAGGTTCCCCCGGACCGATGACTGATGTGTTTTATTACGTTTATCATTGTTTTAGTGTTAAAAATCAAAAGTAGTGATATACGTGGTGCATTATAAGAAGATTTAAGTGGTTTTGAAGTGCTGGTTGATGATCCTGAAGAAGTAGGTAGTGATATTGATGTAAATTATCAGCCAGATTCCTAGCTATGGTTAGGCTATGCATTCTTAGCTAAACGCTATGTACTGAAATCCGTTTTTCGCTCATAACTTATTTATTTGATAACTTACCTCGCTATATGATTATATATTTGTAATCCTCATTAAATTTAGAACAAAGTGGCTATTTTCAAATATTTATAGGCCTATAATTTATACAATTTCATTGAGCGCGAACTTATTTTTTTTTTGAAAATTTTCGAAATTATATTTTTTTTTACCTAAAAATTTTTTTTTTTTTTAAATGTTCCTTATGTTTTATATATAATATTGAAGCCCATGATTTTCCAAACAAAATGGTATATAGAACATTAGAATTGACATTGTTTTAAGCTTCTCAGATCCGTTTTAATAAAACCTTGCAAAGGGGCCAAAAATAGGTGGACATTAAGGCCTAAACTATGGACACTCGGAGGGTTAATAATGGCTTTAGAAAGTTAGTAAACAGCTATTGTGAGGATACGGCCGTAGCCTACAATATGTTTTGAGATTTATGAATGCAATCGTCATAGTTAGTTTTAAAAATGTCTACTTATTCATGACAAATAAATGGGGGGGAAATGTGAGGTTTTGCACACAGTTCTAGACGTTAAAACTGGCTGTAGAAAGTCACCCAATGGCTTTTAGGAGGATATGGCCTGAAGTCTACAGTGTGTTTTGAAATTCATTAATGCGATCGTCATAGTTTATTTTTAAGATGTATTTTTGCTCATGACAAACAACAGGTGAAATTGGAGTTTATGGACAGTTAGGCACGGTTTTAGGTGTTAAAAATGGCTTTAAAAAGTCACCAAACGGCTTTGAAAATTCCAAATTTTCCCGGACCCCCCTGCCTTATTGGCAGCTGTAGCCCCCCGGAGGAACCCCCATTTGTCTCCCCCAAAGTGTTGATGGTGACGACGCCAATGCCAGTTCTACACTGTATCTTATAACTACTGTAGTCACCACCGGCATATTTGCTTACGTGACTTAAGAAGATGAAATAATTTCTTTTCTTCATGCTGCAGCAAAAACAGATGTTTTCAAAACTTAAAAAGAACATTGAAAAAACCAGCAGCTGGAGTTAAGGAAAAAGAGCTGTACAGTTTTCTGACTCGCAAAACTTAGATTGTATGAGTTACACAAATAATGAAATGTGTCTTGAGAGTAGTTTTTGCACATTTACACATTTAAACCTATTTCAAACATTTAGATAATATTTTACTTACTTTCTATGAGAGTGAAAACTAGCGTATGTGAAGCTCTTGCCCTCATATTCGCCAAAGAACCTGCTGTCTTCTAGAAGAATGTGATAGATCTCGTTCCCTGAACACCGACCATACAATCGATGCCATTCTTCTGAAGATGTTTGTCCTTCCCTAGATCATAACGAGATAAATTAAATCGAGTTGTGCCAGCTAACTTATATGACATAACCATGAACAAATTATCAATTATCAATCATTAAGATGGGGACGCCACTTAGGTGCGTATTTTAACCCAAATATGAGTGAAGGATGAGTGTAGAATGGTGTGTGATGATCTGTGTAGCTTTGTTACTGACTAAGATCAGCTGTTTCATTAGCCAGGATCATTTATTTAAAGCCCAATGATCAGGAACAGCTGGGTCCAGTTTCGAACCATCAAAAAGCTACGGACTTTTCTCAGGATCGAACCGGCAACCTTTTGATTAGTAGGCGAGCACTATAACCACTCAGCTACCCAGCCAGTTGGCGCGCTGTTTCCATTACAGCAGTACGCGCCAACATTTCCCGCCAACCCCTCCTCCTACTGCGAACACATTTCACTATCATCCACACCCACACACCTACCTACACCAGTGCACCTTCATCATGGAGAGCGAAGAGACTGCTGCTGCTGCTGTGTCGTGTTGGTGTATCTTGTTGTGTTGGGCTTTTGGACGGTATAGTGAGGCCATGGCGATGTCAAGTCAAGTCAAGATTCGGGGAAAGACGAAGTGTTAAAGTTGATATCTTTGTATGAAAGTGAGACAGTGTTGTGGGATGTGTCTAACAGCAAGCACAAAAACTCTAATAAAATGAGTGATGCCATCCAAGTATCTTAATGTAGCTGCTAACATTTCGCCAGCTGATATGGGACTGCAAGCACCATGTTTAGCGATTAGAGGAGCCACCAAGTTTAGTAATTCTTCAAAGTCAGTTGCCGTCATTCGTACAAAATTTTGGAATCCTGCTCGAAGTCTTAAATTCCTCATAAGGGAGTTGTAGGAGTAATTTAAAAATCCAAATATGAAGATATATATATCTTTTCATAAGGAGTTGTAATAAATCTTGAATCTTGAATCTTAGGCACCTTCAACGGCCCTTTTAGCCAAAAAACTCCTAACCTACCATAGCGGTCAGGCAGCGGTAGCAGTCTCTTCGCTCTCCATGATGAAGGTGCACTGGTGTAGATAGGTGTGTGGGTGTGGATGGTAGTGATATGTGCTCGCAGTAGGTTGGCGGGAAATGTTGGCGCGTACTGCTGGGATGGAAACAGCACGCCAACATTGTTGGGAGCTGTGCTCAAATCAACTTGAACTTAGCTCCCAACATTGTTGGTACAAAATGTTTGATGGAAACGGGGCTTAAGCTGATTTATGAGGTTGATAAATCTTTGTGTGTATATTTAAACGTCCATAAGTATGGAGGAGAATGCTAATCAACAAGTAGTTTGCATCATGCATTCAAGTGTTGCCACTGAGCTCATTATAACTCGCCCCTTGCTACTTGAATCGTTTCCTTAACTTTTTCACCGATAATATAGGTTTTACAACTATCCTGGATTACATATCAACTTACTGTCCACGTGACGTGTGTAGCAGCAGTGTGACCAGTGTAGACGCCCCGGGACACGTACAGTTGTTGGCCAACAATGCGTACTTGAGCTCATCCTCACACACAACATGTTCAGCAAACTTGACGTGCAACTTGTTCTCCGGCCTGAATATCTGCACATACTGTGGCACACACGGCGCAAAGTCCTTCACAGCCCACGACCTCAGGATTGTGTGTTCATCCTGCAAAAAGAGGAGATCAGTCAATCATCCTAGAATATTAAAATAAAAACTGTTATCTCCTAAACTATTTCAGCTACCAATACCAATGTAGTCTATATTAGTAAAAAAATACCTAATAGGCTAAAGTAAATTTGTGTTAGTCAAGTTCTTGTATAAATCGGTGTAAGTTAATTAACTCACACACAGCCTTTGACCACAACTAGGCCTACAAATGTTTTTACAATATGTTTGAGCTCCCTACATTGGTTTGAGCTTTGTTATATTTGCACAAAGTATCTCCTCAGTGGATGGGCAGTGGACATGCGATTCGATTGTATAAAGTAGCACATATGGCTTTTTGCATGTCTTCTACACTGCTCAAATTATTTCTAATGGCTTTTCCATAGTAATTTTGCAATATTGATCAATTTCGGCCCCTGTAAGACAACCAGCACCTCCTACAAACTTGTTGTCTTTTAATTTAATTTTTTTAAAGTTCTGCTTCATGGATGAAGACGGGTGCCCATAAGTTTCTGTACGTGGCCTACACATTCAAGTTTAAGGATTGATGTCAAATTCATCGATATATGGTTTGTTCTCAAAAATCATTGGAGTCACCATCCCTACTTGAGATTTTGTACTTTAAGCCAAGTTTTTCCTCAGAGCGTCTGCACAGTGCCTTGGCACCTGCCACCTACATCCCACCATTCAAACAATAAGTTAGCATTGCAAACTTTTTTTATGTCCAGCCATGTTTTTGGGGTTTCTAAATTTTCTTTCACACAGCCAGTGAAAAATTTTGTTAGGCACTCTGTATTCAAAACCTTTCCGCTAAATTATCAAAGCTTCGCTTGTAACGGATGTCACCAATTAGTGATATATGACCCCGCTTTAGCCAAGTGTCATCAAATGCGGCTGCAATCATCTTTAAATCAACGGCTTCAGCAGCGGCATTCCTCATCGAGGTCTCACAGACTTCTTAGTAGCTGCCTAGGGGTAAGCTTAGACGTAGCCTACATTTGGTAAATTTGGTGTACATTTTCAAGGCAGTAGTGTCGTGGGTTCGGATCCTGGTCACTGCCACTAACTTTTATCAGTACAGTTCACCTTTGTACTGTACCGGCTCACCCCTTGCTTTGCTGGATACGTTCCACGCACAGATCTGTAATCTATGTGGACGGGCAAATGCAAGGTTAAAAGAGGCCGCCAACCTCTTTAAAAAAAAAAAAAAAAAAAAAAAAAAAAAAAAAAAAACTAGACCAGCCTTGTAGTTTGGGTCAATATTCAATTCGACACAGTCACTATCACTACAACATTTGCATTGCGTAAATGATGATGAGGCCTTAAATTATTTCTAAAGCCAGCCTAGGTCTAATAGGCTACAAAGTTTACATGTGATTCTCAAAATATTGTTCATTTGGTAGCTTAGAATTGTTTAACTTAGTTTCTTGGAAGAAGGCGACAGTTTTGATCTAGTCTGATCACTATGGATAGGGGTCTGAGAAATGATTATCAATCATTGAGATGGGGACGCCAGCTAGGTGCATATTTTAACCCAAATATGAGTGAAGGTCGAAGGATGAGTGTAGAATGGTGTGTGATGACCTGTGTAGCTTTGTTACTGACTAAGATCAGCGGTTTCATTAGTTAGGATCATTTATTTAAAGCCCAATGATCAGGAACAGCTAGGTCCAGTTTCGAACCATCAAAAAGGTACTGACTTTTCTCAGGATCGAACCGGCGACCTTTTGATTACTAGGCGAGCAGAATTGAAATGTTCATCAAACCTGGAAATTTAAGCAAACTGATTTCCACTAAATCAATCAATTACCGAACGTACCTACACTATGCTTGTAGTTGATTGATTGATTGATCAAGAAACATAACCTAACCTAGTCCAACAAAACAGTAAACAAAACAATAATATTATTCTGCAACACCAGCTGTACTAATAGCGGAAATCCAGGTGTTGGCTATAAGCAGAGTGGCCAACTCTCACAAATGAAATAAAAATATAACTACTGGTCTTACTGAAATAAGTGTACAACCAAGTACTACGTAAAACCACAGAAAACGTAGGCCTACTACTGTAGTAGTACGTTTTCTGTGGTAAAACCAAGATGTGTCAAAATCCATTCTGAAAATAGTGTCATAAATATTGTCATATATGTAATTTGAGTTTTTTGTACCCTCAAGATGTTATTTTGAATATAGAGTGCTGTATTATTGAAGATAATAAAATGGAGAACATTTTTTTAATACAAAAAAGTTTGACCCTCTAAAGGTATCAACTTCTCTCAAGGATTACATTCAGCAGTCACTGTATGAGCAGCACTTACAGCGGCAGTTTTGTCGGCATAGTTTCTGGCGGCCAGGACAAAACAGGCCTCCGCCTCATTCATCCTGGCCCTGGCGAGGTCCACGTCCTTGAGACACGACCCCTGGATGTAGATGACCCTCTGGGCCCAGATAGGCACCTGCAGGATCATCCTCATGGTTGTGTCTAGCTCCATGGGTGACAGAAGGACCACGTAATAGTCCTGTGGAAGATTACAACCCGGTTATTGTTTAGTAGGCATAATATTCCTTTAATAAGAGCCAAATAAGAGCTATGTCCGTTTGTGTATGTATTTGTTTATAAAAGTTACATTTAGAAGGAAGGATTTTAACTAGTTTGGCAAAATGTGTGTTTTATACTTTGGTTAAGTGTGTGTATGGGGGTATTTTTAAATTTATTGCTGAGCTGGCAGCTGTTATTTCAATTTTAAGGTGAGGTGTGCGGGATGGAATCGCTTCTCCCAAATTACCTACATTTTGTGAACAGACTATAAATTTTACTCTTAAAGACGCACCCCTATAGTCTCGACCTATAATCTAATCTAATGACCTGCAGTAGTGGATGAGCGTAGAACTCGTTGAGGAAGTCCATGATTGTGTCTGCGTGGAGAGTCGTGCTGCAGACGACGACATGCTTCTCAGACTGAGCTCTGTGGGATGAGTACGAGCCTCCAAGCTTCTGTCGCTCCATCCACGTGAACGCCAGCTGCTCAAACTGTGAAAACACCATGGAGGTTGTATATAGGTTCATGGATAAATGATATTTTGAAAACTGACATGAGTTGGTTACAGTGATGAAGATTGAACAGTGGCATTGAAATGAATACAAAAAACATGAACTAATTCAAACTCATACGGGAGGTGATTTATTTAATATAACCGCTGTTTAAAATGTCATACATGTAAGTTATGACTGTGTCACTACTCACTGTTGATCCTCGTCTCAATACATGAACTGACCAAAATGGTATTTTGAATAATTTATATAAATTGCCTGATCAAATACGAATTGTGTAGTCTGCTTTAAGCTGGCCACGAGCATTTATTTCCAAGTGTCTTTCAACATTGCATAATGATATGTTTTTGTATTCTATATCTATAGACATTATCTTTATACTAATATGGGCCGCATGATTTGGGAGGCAGTAAAAATTTACCAGTGTGCAAGTTTATAATGTGGTTAAAAGCTTTATTTTGCGGTATGCATGGAAAAATCATGGGGTTTCTAGTAGTTTTTACCACTGCACTGTGGCTAAATGGAGGTACATATTTTTAGCTTTTTAAATAAATTCATACTAATATTTGTACATAATAATATTATAACTATAATAGAACTGTCACAAATAAAACAGTAGAAAACCCAATCATGTTCCAAAAATTGGTAATTTAGAGTGTAAATATAATAAAGAATGCATGCACTTGATAAGGTTCTCCAAATAAAAACTTTTTGCGAGAATTAAAAAAAACTATCTACAATGCAATATGATCAAACAATGTGACTAAATTTATAAAATAATTATGCAGAATTAACATTGAATCAATAAATTTACTTAGCTTTTACAAAGGTTAAAAGCTTGGTTTGGCTGTAAGCTACTGTCAATGTTCGCTTTAAGGCAATCTCAGCATTTTACGACAAAATTTCTCCTAATCCAAGATTTGGTTTTCTTAATTTATTAATAATATTATTCGTTATGTGGGCAGGTAAAAAACATATATTATATACATATCAGGTGTTGTCATAGCTCGTCAAAAATAATTAATTTGACAGCAACGGGGTGAATATCTAGGTACAATATTTTGTTTGCTACACAAATTACAAAATGTAAACTTTGATTGTTATTTTTAAGTTCAAACATAAAACAACAATAAATCAACCATTTAAAAATTCATATAATAATATATTAAATGTAATAGAGCTCTCAAATTTTACTCATATGATAACAATTAATAGCAAACAATAATTTATAAGAAATTATGTTTAAATGCTTGAGTGCTAACAATAGGACATAGTAAAAACACTATAAATTATGTCTGCCGTTAGAATTTTGCATATATGTATAAAACTGGGGTTTCTACTACAATAACCAAATTCAATGAAATTGTGTACAAAATGCAGGATTAAATAACCCAGGTTAACGAAATATCAATGGCAGTCTACATCCAGCTAAATACTTGGGACTTCTGTAAAAGGGAAAATGTTTAGATCTGTGTTGTAAAAGCTTAAGCTAATTGTGACAAATTGTACATACTATATATTTAGTTAAAGAGAGCTTATTAAAGAGATATTATACTTCTGTGTAAAGCGGCCGACTATGAGAACTGCATCAAATAAAAGCCAAGCCGATGCATGGCAAAAATATTTTTAGCTGAGATTTGAAAAACCTGCTTAATCAGATCCTTCCGAGCAAGCTTATAAAACAAGATAAATAATATTAAGAAACAATAAGGAAAAACTAGAAAAATGTAAAAAAGTGTTAGTATTACAAATTTGATGTGTACCGGTAATAATTTTGGTTGAAATGTAAAATGACGTAGGACTTTAAAACATAGTTTTATATGTTCATCAACGGTAAAATGGGAAAAGAATTGGAAAATGGGAAACTTGTTCCAGTAAAATACAAATAATTTTAAATTAGCCTATATTATTCATGAAAATAAACGTTAATATCAACTAGAGCTCGCCCCGTGGTCGAAAACTCGACCAAAATTATGTATTGTGCAAACTTCTTTACCTACGACCGTTTTTTAAAGTAGCCATTTCAGTCCAGTTCTTAGAATTGAAAAGTTTCACTTTACAGCTGTTTACTTTCATATCCGCACAGTTTCATTTCATATCCGCATAGTTTTCTCATATCCACACAGGTAACGGACCAATGAGGTTCAAGTATTGAGAGAAAATAATTAAAATTGTAATGCTTCGAACGTCAACTAATCAGCTGATCAGCTGATCAGTTGACCAATTTAATTGTTGATCCGACTTGTTCATGTTGATACTCGCGTATTCTTAATTAATTTGGTGGAAGTCCAAAAATAAATGAAATATTTGCCGAATTGTACCTGATACAATATTATTTACGGTAAGAATGCTGCTAGCAATGTAATATTTAACGAAGTTTAACAAACACGTAATTACAGGAAATAAGCTGATTATACAACAAGTCTTTCAGTGGCAATGACAATACACGAAAACATAACCTCTCTAAAAAGTTATCAGTAGTTATTGTTAGTAATTAAATCCAGATTGATAGTAATTAAAAAACGGTCGTAGGTAAAGTAGTGTACGCAACTCGCGTTAATAGTCTTTACGACACTCGTAGAAGTTTTTAAGGCACTCGCCAAGGCTCGTGCCTTAAATTTTCTACTCGTGTCGTAAAGACTCACTTAACGCAATCGTTGCGTAAACTACTATTTTTTCACCCCGCACTGTAAATAAAACAAGTGATTGGAATTTCATCCATTTGTTTTGATTTTCTTTTTATATTTTGTTACCATCATGGCAACACATAAATGTTAATAAAAAATAAAAGTTCATTTTTCGTACGTTTTGAGCCTATTTTAATTTATAAAGGAATTCTGCACATCTCCAGGAAAATACCTTTCATTTGGTACCAAATGTGTGTAATTCAGTCCAGTGGTCAGGCTAGCTGTCAAGTTTTGCAAAAGTTTTTAATATATAAGAAAAAGTAGTTATATAGGAAAAATAAATTTTAGTATCAAAATTAAGTAGTACCATCATTTTAAAATCTGTTTTAGCACAACTATAATAACTTCTTGATTTGTATAAAATGTGATAGTGCAAAAATATACGGAAGAAAATTAAAAGACATCTTTCAACGCAAGTTATACTTGAACTTATTTGTATTTAGGGTATTTAGTGAAAAGAACCTCATTTAAATAGGAGAAATACCTTAAATAAAAGTCTAGAGGTTTCCACTAAATATTATTGTTTAATTTATCATACTTTTACAAGTAATTAACAATTAATTGTTTAGAGCAAATAAAAATGAACCACTTTGGTTGAAAAGCCTAAAAGAATGTCTCTTTGTTTATTTTTCTTTTCATAGCAACCAAAATTCAATAACACTATTTAAAACATCTGTCAGCTGGTAAATCTGTCAGCTCACTACAGGTATAAGCGATGTTGGCCAGAAGACTTTGGATAATACTGGTTGGAGGTTCACATGCATTCTTAGAAAACATAAAATTTGAGAGCTCTGAAAAGCCAGAATAATTCAGAGGCTCGTATTCAGACAAAGGAATTTGCATTACTACTTGTACTTGAAAAATAATTCACCTATAAAATTAAAACAAAGTAAAAAATAAAAATATCTGTAAAATGTTCAGACAATTAGATGTTCAAAGTGGATTTATGAACACAAAAATTGTTATTGCTAACACGTAATTATACACCTATTTATACAACCGTGAAAATTTCAGATTTTACATAGATAAATTTATAGATAAAACTTGAATGTATGGGTTAAATACTGGTCATATGTAAAAAAATATGCAAGCAACTACTTTTGGTACTTTTGGTAATAGTAAACAAACACGTTTGAAAAATAAAATAGCTTCTTCGTATGGTTTTTCTTGAAGGAAAATTTCTAAGACAGAAAGTTATCTACGTAAGATAGACCTATGTTTGTAATTGATAGGTGGACATACAGGTGGGCATAAACCTAAAGGGTCGGAGTATTACGTCATGTCTTAAAGTGATAAGTTTTTCTTGAAGGACTTTGAACCTGTTCAGGACCATCTATGTATGATACTAACATAGAAAATATACCTTGATTATATACATCGATGGTCAGGTCAGATGTCTTATGCTCTAATTCGTATACCAGTCATAACCAATTGACAACATTTAAATACAGTAGCGTCATAAAAGTACGAAACATTGACATAACTGCCTTGGTCCTACTGTCTGTTGCCACGTCAACTGAGCTATCAACTGGCAAAAAAAATATCCTTTGTTAAGAAAGAACCATGAAACGTACCCTCAAAAAATTGCACCACAATAAAGTTCAATCAAACATTTCAAACATATAATTCACCTGTGTTGGAAGGACGATGAGCGCCACACATATCATGATGACCATGTAGAGTTGTGACGGCCAGATATCTGGCACAAAGTCTCCATAGCCAACAGTGGAGAAGGTGACTACTACATAGTACGTTGATTGGAACAGGTTCAGGTGTCTGTGACCAGCTCTTTGGAAGTGTTGGATACCGCACACGCTGCAACATAGGAAACATCATCTTTCATGATTACTACATAAAGTTGCTAAAAGTCTCCATAGCCATCAGTGGAGAAGGTAACTACATATTTCTGTAAAAAACGCCCTGATAGAGATAAAAATTTAGATTTTTATGACTAGCTCTCTGACAATTCGGCAAGGTATTGGACTGTCTTCAACCAGCCCGCTGAAAGTATATATATATATATGTACATATATGTACATATATAAATATATATATATATATATATTTTAAGAATTCATATGATCACAAGGTAAACATTGACGTACGATGATTAATCATCTATAAAGAAAACCCCTCAATAGATATTTCCACATAAGTTTGCCAAAAAACTGTTTAATAATTAATATACAAACAGTCATATGTTTTTCAATTGTTTTGTTAAAAACAGTAAATAGTTTAGTGTGTTGTTTGGTTGAATGAAATAAAGAAGATGGTTTTTTGTAAACATTTATTTTGTCATTCCTAATGTTTGATATTAAGTAACCGTCCGTGATATCAAAGTATTGAATCACGCACAGTGACGACTTTAACATCTGAAAAATCGTTTATATTTGTAGATGGAGGGAGATAATGAATTGTAAATAATCGTAATTACTTAAAAGTAAATGAATAAGTGGCTTTTTACGGACGTAAATTTTAAATGTATTTTTGATCATCCAAAGAGTGATGAAACATCTCATACATATGATTCCTCCCTCTATGGAAAATGTCATAACCTCATATAAGGAGGATATAGAAATGTGCACTACTACTATCGCTAAAATAAAAATGATCTAGCAAATGTAATTAATATTACACTAGAGACCCAACGTAATTTAAATCAGTAAAGTGAATTGATATAATGTAAACACACAAGTTTTATACAAACAAATAGAGATTCCATCTCATCTGGATTTCACATTACTTTGTGATGTGTCTAAAGCTCAGCTCCATCATTTACATCAAACGTCATCATTAATCTTTCTCACTTGCTTTCTCTGCTTTTGATTACGCTTTGATGCTGAAATTAATTTCTTTATTCAAAGTAGATTTTTTTACAGCATGCATATTTGAATGTAAAATGCACTCTTAATTGATTCTTTAAAATTACGTTCGTTAAATATACGTGTATTTAGGTATATTTTGTTTTAAAGAAGTCGAAGTGAATTTGAAGAATTATTTTGTTAGCAACGTTGAAAGGTCCATATTAAAAATCAAATCAAAATCACTAACTCTTCTTAGTCCCGTTATAGTACCTATTTTTCTTAGAATAGTTTAAACTGTTGTTGACAATACAGAATTTAAAAAAAAATAGTTTATTTGAGAGAGCTGTGGTGCAATCACTATATGAGTTAACATAAAATGAGGCTACTAACCTGTCGTCAATCAGTCCTATATTGTCGTGGATGACTATAGTTTCAGGGTTAAAACCCCACTTTCAAATCTTCTCTTCAGTCTCATATGTCAAACATTTTCTCTAGCACAAGCCGTCGTCAAAATTACTTCACACATAAATACATACACAAACATTTATAATTACAAAATCATGTACATGCGCGAGGCCGGCCAAGGACAAAACCAGACCATTTTTGCAACTATAAATGTTTCTGTATGTGTTTACATGTGAAGTACTTTTGACGACGGCTTGTGCAAGAGAACATGTTTGACATATGACGACTATATATAGTTTTGGGGTTAAAACCCCATTTTCAAATATTCTCTTCAGAAGATTTGAAAATGGGGTTTTAATCCCGAAACTATAGTCATCCACGACAATATAGGACTGATTGACGAAGGGTTGGTAACCTCATTTTATGTCAATAAATCAATCCTGGAGGCAAATTATGCATAAATATATGAGTTAGTGGCATAGTGATCTAATGTCCAAAATAAGCTCTCAAAGAAGATTTTGGCAAATATTTAAAAATATATAGAACTAATTTAGTTATATTAACAACATTTCTTGCTAGTTTTTTTACTGAAAGTTTTATTGACCTCCAATCAGCTCCCGCATTTGTAATAGACAGAGGGTAAAACTGTTGAAGAGCTTTAGAAGGTAGGCATATTATAAATATGCGGTTAAATACTTTATAAAGTTTATTAATAAAGGCGTGACCAACACTCTACCATCTATATTGCTGGACAAAAAGGGATGATACATGTAAGAACTACTGAAATTTAGTTAGCTTAATCTATTTATCTATACCATTATAAAATTTAGTAGGTGTCTGTATGTCTGTCTAGGTGGCTGCCACGACTAAAATACTAAACAGATACATCCAAAATTAAGCACAAAGATTGTCCACATATCTAGGAATGTCATAGGCCTATTCACTACCCCGAGTTCCTCTCGGGCTACGCCCCTTGGATGTCCAAGTTTTTGAAGTGGTGTTTTCAAAAGTAAATAAAAACGCTGATTGGTCTTTATGTAAGTAGTATGAGAAAACTCACAATGCTTACCTTTGCAAATTGCATTGCCATTTCAATGTAAACAGTCAGAACTGCCAAATATTATTTGACAATTTCAGACAGCTGATCCAAACAAATTAATATTTTACATAACTATGTGGTAGGTTTATTTATTCTAAGAAATTGTCATTGATTATTTATTTTAAAACTAAGTCATAGATTATGGAAATATAAAAAAAGATTTTATAACAGTTGTATCAACCCAGGCTCTGCTTTAGATTTAGTAAAGTGTCTATGATATGAAAATAATGTTATTCATATATTTTCATGTAAACAGAAGGACAATTGCAATGTAAGTTATACTTTTTGTAAAAATTTGGTGGCTTTTAGCTTAATATTTAACAAAACGTCCAATAATAGACTCACCTTGTAAAAACTAAACAAAGAAGAGTTGCAGATAGAATCATCAGCTGTTGAGACAAGGCTGACTGCGACTTCTGCATCGCTCTGTGTAAGTCGTTCTGAAAATCAGCTAAAGTTAGCTAAAGGTTGGTAAAGGTGCAGAGTTACCTTAGCTGTGAACGAGTAATGTACTCTAGTATAGATATAACATGTAGCTCAAGATCATATCTTGGACCATAGCTTCTGGACAAAAGTCTACACTCGCTAATAATACAAGAGGTAAGAACTCCACGGCCACACTTACCTATAGCATCCATTTCATATTAAAAGTAACTATAATCCAATCAGAAAAAAATAGGTGGTTTCAGGGGAAACGATTCTATACCCTCCACCTGACACTAAATTTGAAAAAAAACCAGCCTACCTTACTTTGATCAGCTGATAATTGTATATACAGGGTGGTTCACGTAAGGTGTCTCAAATTGATTTAAGACAAACCGTTGGTCCTACAATGATGAAACAAAACTATTTCCCACTAAATCAACCCCAAGGAATAACGTAAAAATATGTTTTATGTTGACTGAATACTGGGTGTTCAAAAACCAGAGGGTCACTAGTTCAGATCTCAGAAATATCAAATGATATTTATATCATACATGATTTTAAAGCCCTATTAAAAAGAAATATTTTAGTGAAAACACAACTAAATTATCTTTAGTCGTTTCAAAATGATGGCCACTTTTTAAATAGATTTATTTTTACGGAGTAACCTGTATTTTTCTTGAAATTGCAGACATCTTTCTTTACCCTGATTCAAATATCGCATTCCTTCTGAGCTAAACTTTATTCCGGTATCCAATCTTAAAAACGAAAATTCAAACAAATTTGTTTAAAAAAATATTTACATACGGTGGCCAAAACTAAAAAAAAAAAAAAATAAATAGCATCACATGTCAAACAGCACATCATTTTATAAGATTTGACCTTTGGCAATGTAAATATTTTTCAAAACAAATTTGTTTGACAATAGAACGAGAAAGAATAAATTTCCCAAATTTTATAAAATATGAGGCATTATTTAACATAAAAGGCTCATAAACATATAAGGCATTATTTATGTTAAAGATCTTAGTAAGTGTTTAGGAAAATGGTTATGTACTTTATTCAGACATTTTTAATTACTTAAATATCCATAAGAGTGCATTCTGTTAACGACCTGTAAACATCTAGTAACTTGAAATAATTAACAAGACCATAAATGATACTGCAAAAATTATACTTACGAACATATTTTCTAGTGACTTTTTTGCTAACCAACAGTTGAGAAAGACAGGAATGAAGAGATTTCGGAATGGAGGATAAACAATCTGAAACATAAAGATCAAAATGTAATTAGAGGACATACATGGTGAAATAAGTAACAAACTATCAAAATTGTTTTGATTTTGATTTCTTCCAGTTAGATTGTGGGTTTTATTAATCATGGCTGTAATAAATTAAATGTTGTTTCGATCAGTATACATAAATATACCTACAACAAACAAATAAATATAATTATATTAAGTTTATAAAAGTGGTATTAACTGATTTGGTTCTTATTTTTTATAATATTATCAATTAACTAATTGGGCGAAATAACCGATATATTTTTAAAACTATTAAATACAGTATTATAGTACAACTAACTGTCGTACATAAATATTGTGGACTGTCGTTATATAATCATTGTCAATGATTAGTTAAAATGTGTACTGAAAGACTCGTTTTTATTTCGGAAACGACTTTTTGTTTTTAATCTGTATATAAATTGATGGGAACGCATTTTAACTGTTTTAAATTAAACTGAGTTTACTCTTTTTTTGTTTGTAACTATATATCGTCTTATATTATGATTAAAGCATTTGGTTTTTGAACTGTCTGTATTATCACTAATATTGAATCTTGTAGATATTACAAAACCAACAAGTATAAGCAATCACAAATAAAAATAAATGTGTAGGTATATAGATTTAAATAATAAACTATGGTGACAAATGCAACTATATTTTCAATTTCTTTTAGTTGATATATCGAGGAAAACGACAATTTTTAAGAGGATCTTATACTTTGAATGATTCAATCTAGGATTAAGGGACCATTATATTTTATACTGCAAACGTAATTTAAAACCCACACTTAAAAAATTATAATTTTACAATTAAAGATGGAAATTATTACATTCTTTGTAGCCAACTCTGCATTGGCAATGAACCTAAGATATTGGACCTAATCAATGGATTAAAATAAATCATATTTTTTACTATTTTCCGGCTTATGAATACAAACTCGACTATGTGAATAGTCTACCATAAAGTCAATTCTACATGGTTTACTGTAACTGCAACTTCAAACCAATTTCATCTCGTACATTGCGGTATCTTAGTTAGCAGGGCTGGGGAGCGGAAGGTCAATTTCTATTAAGTGATCATTTCAGCCCACGCCTTAGGCTAATGCCACTGTTCCTGTTAGATTATATATTTTTTTAGATTATAAAATGCTGAGCTCCAAATCACGTAAGTAAACCGTGTTTGGCAAGATTTGAACCCGGTTCTCCGCGACTGTAGTCCCGTGTTCTTAAACATTAGACATTGGTCTATTGTTGCCATTGGGCGTCGTTAATCTTTCAATACAGTTAACAAACATGTCAGCTCTAGACTTATTTTTGACATAAAGTAGAACATTTTGCATTCTGCTTCTACTGGGAACGCTATGGTAAACTGAATAATACATCAGACCGAACTGAGAAAGACGGGTTTGTCGGTGAATGAAAACTCTAGACAACTCTACGCGAAGTCAGTTCCTACAGAAAATTGCAAAACATCATTTATAGAGTAGAAGAGAAATTTAAAAGGACGTTTAAATGGGGTAATTTACAAACTTGTATAAATGGCGGCAATTAAACTACCTTTTGCATACGCTATACAGTGCTTTGCTGGCTACCACAATAATTCATATCAAATTCAAACAAAACAGTGTAAACAGTTTCTCTGTTGTATTTAGAACGTTTATTTGTCTGTAGTAATTTAACCTTGACTTCGTGAACTGTGTTTAAAAATACACTACGACCTATTTATTTAATTTATTAGTTTATTTTTCATTGTATTTCCTGCTTTGACTTATAAAGTTGTTGAGATTCGTAATTGAAATGTTTCTTAGCTTGCAAACCTCAACCTATTATTACAATCGCGCTTACAAATACTACTAACACTATAACAGTATCTTGGAGATAAATACTCCGACAAAATAATTAAAGGGGCCTTAAACTCCGCACGGTAATTTAATGACTACAACCACGCAATCTAACACGCAAACCCTACAATGTTTACTCGTTCGTACCAGCGGGAATTCATACTTATCTTGGCATAAAAACATATTCAAACATGCCTTAAATAAATAAATATAACACTGTATAGCAAGTAGAATTTTAAATGCATTACTTAATCACTGAGATCGAGACGCATGTAGGGTAGGCTCCTATGTGTGTGAGCTGGTACGATAACTATAGTAAAATCCATCCAATTATGATGAAATTTGATTCAAACCTACGTCTATTAGATAGCACGTTATGCATGACCAGACTATAGGGACGGGGTTCTAGGGATAAACAACGATGACATTTTTTCATTCTATACTCTAAAAAATCAGAAATTCATTCTAAACCATCTTCTAAAGATTAAAAAGAAAAATAATTGAGCAAATCAAAGGGTTTTCGTACGCTTAACTTTTAGGGTGAAACTAAACAAAGAATGTTAATAAAAAATATCAATTTTATCATGATGTTAAATAAGAAAACGATTGTAGTTTGCTTATTTTTGGACATCTCTTGATCGAATTTAGCAAATTTATTCATTTTACTAAGTTATACATGAAATTAAAAACACACACTCTTCATTACCTTTCCTGTAGCAGCAAACCTAAGTAGCCTATTTGTTAAATCTAATGTTATTGAAATAGGGAATAAATCCCCAACTGGAATATTTAAGTAAAAATTAAATTAAGTACAAGCGAATTTACTTAGCCTACAGGTTTGCTGCAATGGGGAAATTTGAAGTGTTTTTATTAAACTTTTGTACACAATAAAATCAAACGTCGTTTATAAAAGCGACCGAGACACCACGACAAAGTTAAAGTTCACAGGTTTATGCATTATTCACATGGTCATTATAAATACAGGAAGTTTTTGGTTAAATCACTCCTCTACGTCGCGTATCGTCTTCCGGATATCTCTATACTTTTGGATAACATTTTGGATTTTTTAATTTATTAAGTTAGTAAATATTTGTTAGCTTCTTAAATGAGTACAGACATAGAACCCTAGATGAAGCTATGGTACAAGGTATACGAACAATATTATAGACTAAATACAACCCCGATATACTTGTCATTCTTAAAATAACATGGCCACATCAAAATAAGTGTGTCCTCCGAAAAAGTGTCCACGAATATTTAGTTCTTGTCTAATATTCGAAACGCGTCGAATTTCGAACTCACACGAAGAAATTCGGCCTATGTAAGTTTTATGGTTGTCGATTAGACAACATCATCACTAGATGTTTCGATCCGAAGTTTTAAATTTAATATACTTTGCACAAAGACACGCAGCAGGCCCCTAAAGTCTTTTCAAAGGGACAGTTTATTGCTGAAATGCCATTACGAACAAATACCAACATGGACGTAGAATTTGCAATTTCATTTATTAAGCCTTTGATTTCTTGTTATTTTTCATAGCTAATCCTTGTATTGAAATTAAAATATTATTGTATTAGCTCTACTAATTTAAAAGTTGGGACTTTGCTGAGGAAATTGACAGCGTACACGTACATTCATTTATATTATTTAATTTTCAGGGCTTTAATATTGAAAAAAAAAAACTTAAATCGCAAATAATAACCACAAGTATAAAATTTGTAAACCTGTTTATTTTATCATAAAAAACTATGCTCAAGAAAGAAATTACGAAGTAAATGACACAATAAACACCAAATGTAACACTACTACAGCTGAATACACCCGTGTATAACCTCAAAACCACGGGGTTGTGCGTAGCACATCTCTCTGGGACGAGTGTGGCAACATTGTAATGTAAGGCAGGCACTGTCCCCAGCTGTACAGCTGCAATGTGACAGCCACAGACAGCCAATGATCGAACGTCTACCGGGCAGGATTAACTACACCCTGTGTAATCATATTGATGGATGTGGCCTGCTATGTTAACGTTTTGAACAAATAATCAATGTTATATTGACATTACAGGTAGTATAGGTATAAAGTGTTAATAATTTTGTTGTAACATTCAACAGATACATTATTAATGAAGAAAGGGACACGAATTTTAATGGGTATAATAATTAAAACAATATCCAAATTCACTTTCAAAATTCCTCCTTTGGTTCGTTTTTGGGCTGAAATACGTATAAATTACATCCCCTATCTCGTATGACGATATAATTATTTAATTGTATTTTACATGGTACTTAAATTGGTCTATTTATTTTATATTAGGCATGATGCTAAATAAAGTTGTCAGATTGAGGTGTACCATCGTTGATTATTTTTAAGAGTTAGTTATATCTAGACGCATACTTTAGGAGAACATAGTACCTTACGGAGTGTGCTACAGGCAAAGTATTGTTTTATTCCTTGTGTGTTAATAATAAGTTAATAAGACATAACTATGTCATAGTTTACAATAAGTTCTTTAAATTTTGATTGGTTACAAAGTTTGTATCTAGGACTGAAATAGTTGACTGGCCGCAGAAGTCACTTCAGAGATGATCAACTCAACTAAGTTTGAAATAGTTATTTGTGTAACTAGTGCGCGAAGTGGCACTTTGCTGCCTATGAGAAAAGGTTTGTCGTGTGCAGCAAAGGCACTTTGCGCTCGCATTACACATTATATTTTCCGACTAATACTACAAAGCATATAAATAATTAGCCATTGAAACACAAAACAACACGTTTTAGTTTAGGTTCCAAGCGTTGAACGAAAATAGAATGTGAAACAACAGGTAAGTCGTAGTATCAATACTCTGTCAAAGGATGTGAAGCGTTGCACCAGCTGATCGTAGTCGTAGTATCTTTAAGTGTTGTTAACTTATTTTCAAGCGGACACGCATTATGTGTCTTATAAAAGCACATACGTTTTGTGTTGTTTGGTTGGAATACTGGAGTGCGGCAAAGTAAAAAGTAAGCAATTGCGGCAATTAGTTACTTTGCGTGCTATAATCAGTGCAAGGAAGCCTGGCTTTGTCAGGTCACTGTAAAAAGTTTTATTCTTAAAAGTGAATACAGCTTTGACATGGGAATCCGATGTTTTTTCCTAAATACATTGACATGCTATTCAATCTTAATTTAGAGATTTTGCCCAAAAAATTATTCATCGAAATCTATAATTTTGTAACGATATAGCTATGTAACTATATTATTATTGTAAATTATACGTCTAATCTTTTTCGCTTATTATTTACCTTTAACAAATATATTTACTTAGCTAAACAACAAATAAATAATTAATGACGTTTCGTATAAACATTATGACCTAACTTGTGCAAGCACACACATTTTAAATATGTTTTCGAGAAATATTATTTTCCAGTATATTTTAAATACGTTCCCCCCCTACAGTTGAATGTTAGTGAGTGAACAGGTTTTGTACTACATACATTATCCTACAGTAGAAAGGTTTGTCCATCACATTAATATTCAATCCCGGTTTTGTCGTGCCAATACTTTCAGGGTTGAAAATCCTCTTTACTAATTCGTAGCTTACTGTATGGAATGTATACAGCTCAAATATATTCATACTTGATATAATATCCATTAAAAACGCCATAATAATTTTGTTTATTCATAAAAGATGACAATGTAGGTTAAATAATAATTGCAAAACAAGAAAGAACGACGACCTCAACACAAAGTGCTGTCTTGGGACTGGCTTGTTCCTGTTACATATTTACTCAACATTATATTTAAGGGGCTGCTTCTATAAAGGAATATTGTAATACTAACTTTCATAGAGTAAAGTTTCTTTGTGTCTATAACTTTAGTACTAATTATAGCTTAAGAGTCAGATGTTTCTTAGGATTGTTTCCACAATGAAACTGATATGAACTGAACTTAACAGAAAGTCGGTTTAGCTGACAAAGAATGGATCTTATTTGATTATGTTTGTAATACTCTACAATAGTATAATTCTTTCCTAGAGATTAAAGTAACTTATTTGATCCGAGCTCCAGTTTGACGACCGAGGCAAAGCTGAGGGAAGTGGGCGAGGGTTGAAAAACACATTTTGCCCGTGTAATGAACTACATTTTTCATCATATTGCAATATTATTTAACAACTTGATTTAGGAAATGATAATACTTTTCATGTAAGTATAACCTTTCAAAACGACTTTCAACTTGTAAACAATTTTGCTATTGGAAACAAGCAGCTGTTTAGTAAGTGATTCAATCATTTCGTCTATTACGATTGTGTTAGTGTATATAATACCATCGACTATTGGATCCATACTATTGATATGTCAAACTATTGACAGAATACAACAATACTACAACTGATCAATTATATCGAATCAATTGATACCTAATTTCTTTACATGACTCGTTACCATTGAGTTTACAACAGCTGACTTTTACTCCCTAGGGAAAAAGGCTTGTAGGGACCTATAACGTATGTATTAAAACAGCTGTTTTTCTGCAGTATGACGAAACATTTGTATGTAAAGTAAACTACAGCTAGGCCTTTATATTAAATCGTTGAAGAATGAATAGTGAAACGCTTGTGAAATTCAAATAGAAATACTTGACTGTATTTTTATCGAGTTTTTGCTATCGAGTCAACCAACAAACCCACATTCAGACTGATCGATTATACGTCCGATTCCTCAATTACCTCACTTAATCACACTTCATTCTGACATTTCGACGACTGACCTAATTTACTGATGTTATATTGGTCTTTACTTTGATTTGCATATTGATTTGCCGGAGTTTTAGCCCACTACATAGTCTATTAAAAACTGCATTTTGTATTTAACGTAACTTTACATGTTAGATAGTCAATGATGTTAGGTATATTTGAATTTCGCTTCATGGCAGAAAGTATGGTTATGTTCAATATCAAGTTTTATCTCAAGTAAGTTAGTATTAAATCATTTTGTCGTAAATTAAAATTTGCACCACGTTAGATTGCTGTTATTTAAGTTTATGTTTAATTTGTAAAAATGAGGCTCTTAGGTTTATGTTCACACAACATGTTTAGGTTTATTACAGTCCATGCACGAACACATCTAGGGATTATTGTAAAGTAAACTTGTGTATGCACGTTTGTATGTATAAATTACTTGAAGGAAATTACGAGGGTGTTCCTAGGTCATTTGATGGTTTACCTTACTCCGCCATCTTGGTATTAGAAAAAGTGGTATTTAACCTAAACTTGCATTTTAGTAAAATCTACGTCTTAATCAATACCTGTAATTATAATAGTAGATACAACTGTTGACGTTGTTGCGCCATTTCTCGATAATAGTTTCATAAGTGAGTTTGTAATACATTACATTGTGATGAAAGATAAAATGCTTGCCGCACGGGCAGTAAAGGAAGGTATTATGAGTCATAAATCATGTTTACAGAGAAAAGCCCAACATGTGATGAGTTTAGGCCTTTAAAATTTGATTCTCTAATGTAATATAATATATAGAGGCAACCAATCACTGCACCAACTGAAACATATTTGTACAAAGAATCTACAAATTTGTAACTTCCTAATTAGCTTTACGTGTTGGTGCCGTTTATTTGACCATGCATCGAAGCTATCTAAATTTCACAACCATGCCACTATGACGCATGTACGCAGATTAAGCTAAATAATTTAATTACGTAAATAATATATTATCAAACCTGTCATCTAATCACTTATATACCGACTAAACACGCTCTGTGACGTGTAATACAATTATTAAACGCGATTGTAAACGCTACAATGAGATGATTTAATTAATTATCAATGTGGCCTTACCATCGAGATTTTAGCTACGAAAACCAAATGAATATTTGGGGATATTACACTCTAGTATCATCCTTGACTTTAAATAAGTAGATTTCCCTTCAAATTTAGGCTGATATACGAGTTTACATCATGTTAGGGGTTTCTTAAACCATTCTTGATTTGTGTAATTTCTGCTGATATAGAGTATGTTGATGAAAACTAATAGTTTAATATTATTTTATGGGGAAAATAACTACAAAAAATGCATCTTTGTTCCTCGTATCTTTGTTGTATATGCTACTAGTAAAGTTTCAGTGGATTACATACATATCACTTTTTTGGTCGGATTGATCATAATGTTAGTAAAATAACAAGAGATAATATGAAACAACTTCGTTTCAAATCCTTTCCAAAACTATTTTTAGCAGATCCAAAAGGATAATAAATGCAGGGCTTTAAAGAGAGTTAAGTCCTTGGTATCGAGGATTCAACTATAAAGAGAAGGTGCAAAGCTTCTTTAATAAATCTACGTATATTCAACTCAACGTGATGCCAAATTGAAACTGATACACCTAGGTAGGTAGGTGTTGATTGACTTCTAACAATATTAGTGGCTTGAAGGGACATAAGTCCCTGAAAAGCTCAAATGTAAAACAAACTATTGTAATACAGTATAAACAAACTTAAATAAATCTAATACATATATCAGATATATATACCAGTACAACAATCTTTTGTGTAAAAAATAGTTTGTTGTTTGTCTTTGTTTGCTTTTGTTGATGTTATTTTTAATAAATAATTTAAATTACTCTAAAGGTTTAACTCTGCTAAAGGCAGCAAACATGTTTGTGAATAAATATTAGATTACTAAGGTAGCTTTGGTCTTTTGATAATAAAAAGGCTTTCCTGATTAAAATATTGGAAATTGTCTTCGTCATATATGAAAAGGCAAATAAAGGTGTGTTGAGATAAGCTTAGTTCTTAGTTAAAACCGCTAAATTAGCACCCCGACCTAGTTATTATTTCTAAGTGCATGCTCCTTTTGTAAACACTACAATAAATCTCAAATTAAAAATGTTAGTAAGTATAAAAAAGTGAAGAATAAATCTTTTGAAATCAAAACAAAGCATAAGTTTTCAACAATCTTGAATCGATTATTATTTAGTCAATGTAGTTATTTCATGTTGAACATTCCTTCAACACAACAATAACCGTTAAGTTAGAAGAAACAACTTCATAATTTTTTTCAGCCATTCTAAGTTTAATTCCTTTGATTTGAGCCATCTCCTATGATTCTACTACTTATCATACGCTTAACTAATTTACTTAAAAAATACACAAGTTTGCCAATTGCACAGTAAAATAATTGATTTCAAAATTCTAAGACGTAACTAAAAAATATTTATTATTATAGGTAGGCCTAAAGTTATCCCTGGTTTTATATAGTATACAGTACATTGCAGAATTGACTGGCAAATGAGTAATCCAAATGTAATATTTATTGCTTACTGGTTTGATGATTAATCACGATCAGTTGTATTGAAGTAAACAAAAAACAGCAGTAAATGGCTTCTAATGCATTTCTTATGGAGAACATTTTAGGTTATATCCAATTTAGGGTTAAAATTTTGGGAATTTCACTATTTTTCCCGCCGTCACGGGATCGAGACCTTTAATTTGAGCCCTCTCCCGTCGTTCTACGACTTCCCAGTCGCCCACAATTTTGACGCAAAGAATCGGCTTACGTAATTAATATAGGCTATAGAAGATAGATCTAGACTTACAGGATATATTTATTCAAATTTATACTATTACTATAACAACAACCAGTGAAAAACATAGGAATACTCACTGTAAACGCAAACGGAATGGTGTTTACTAGCTCTAGAATGAAATGGAACGACAGTAGTTGCTGCCATATGTTCCCCTGGAAAATATAAAGCAAAAGTTAGAAATAAAGATATTTTGTGCCACATGATCATCATTAGAGAAAAATTTCAAACGGCCCTTCAATATACATTATAGAGGGTTTGCTATTATCCAAATTAATAATAATTTAAGTTCAAGTATATTTATCAATAATATTACATAGGCTTGGCGTCGCCAAGTTTACAAAACTTATCGGCGAGGTTCAGTTGATATGTAAATAATAATAAATAATGATATAGTGTGATATAGTGAGTCGGTGGCTCAGTCGGTAGCGTCGCGGACTTCGGGCCCAAGGCAGCGATGTCGTGGGTTCGGATCCTGGTCACTGCCGATAACATTTTATCAGTACAGTTCACCTTTGTACTGTACCGGCTCACTCCTTGCTTTGCTGTTAACGATCCACGCACGGGCGCTTAGTCTATGTGGACGGGCAAATGCAAGGTTAAAAGAGGCCGCCAACCTCTTTAAAAAAAAAAAAAAAATTTATTATATTTATCTATATGTCAAGTTTATTTTTTATAAAAAAAAAGATTGGAGGGTGATTTTAAAATTACTATAACGGTTGATTAATCGCACAACATCCTACTTTGTCACACACATTTTTCGATTAATGAAATGGATTTTTCTCATAAGACTATAGCGAGATAAAAAATATTTTTAGTCTTAACGTTATTCTTATGGTGAAAATATTATAACTTTAGTTTTCTTAGCCTATTTATTAATCTTATCGACATTTTGGGAATCCCGTTGTTTCTTGTTTTGCAGCAAAGCAAGAGGAAGAATGAGGTTTGTGCTAATGCTGGTTTTAATGATTAAGATCAATTCAGCCCATAACTGGGGAATGATAAGTTGGGTGATTTTTGTGCTTGACGTTACAATTCGAGGGGAAGAAATCGTATTATTTCGAGCTATTTGGCAACAATATCAAAATACGATTGAGTAAATGTTGATGATTTGATTAATAATCCTTATTGTTATGCTTGTTTTTTTCACATAGAAAATGAAAATCTTTTATTTGGACTTGATAAAAAATAATTGCTTGATTTTGTGACGGAAATTCTTAATTAGACCAATAAAAAAATACTTATAGAGTTGACGACGACAATTTCTAAAACACGACTGGAAAGATACCTTGTAAATTTCAAAAATGTTGTACCTGAAAGTTAGATTAAATCATTTCATTCCTTACTAAATAACACTAGTTTACACTCACTTGATTCTCTTAGATTAAACATGCGATTGGAGTTTACGAGAAACTAATTTTACTTACGAACTAGAGACATCAGGAAATAAAATAGCATAGTGATTGACGACGTAAAATCATTGGCAATATTTTACTGCCATTCTGGGCATGCAGAGGCATGCTTGGGACATGGACGCTATTCATCATCCCTAAATTGATTGGGTTTATTTGACAACGCTATACGTTATACACCAAAAGCTGGATTTTTAAACGCATCCTTCTGAGAGGTATCTATTGTCGTAGGCTTCCCAGTAATACATAGAAGTATATTATGTATGTGTATGTAGCCCAAATAACCCTCACTCAATCTCTCCAATTTTGATGAAGCTTTTAAACCGACATTTATTGGCCTGAGCTTAAGAACCAACCAAATTGGATCTTTGAAATGGTAGTTTTTGGTGGGGAGATATACAGCACGCAAATCCGTATAATTCTTACTCAGCATTTGTAAACTTTAACCTTTACGTTTATTTAACGAATTTGTATGAAGTTCAATGACTATTAAGGCGAAATTTGGATGGATAGAGGGGGAAGTTGACGGGAGCCGCCATGACTAAACCATAGCAGTAAGTGCAGTGTGATGTCCCAGTTATAATGCAAATCTGCAGTACAATATGTATGATGTCACTGAGCTGTAACTCTCTCAGAAGCTAAACTGTATCGATATATGTTTTTCTATTTATTAGTCAATAAATATGGTAAGTTCCGGCAATTGTCAACTAAAAATAACTGCTTTGGAGATATTACACTTGTAAGCTATCTATCTATATCTTACAAATAGAAACACTATTTTGATTTTGAAATATGTTCTACTTCCATGCTGATTAAGAGTATTTATTTTTGGAAAGAGGGTTCACATTATATTTTTAAATCAAAATACTGCTTAGGTTCAAAGTTAGTTTAGAGTGGTGCATATTAAACGGTTTTAGGGTAGTAATTTTGTTTGAAAACTTGAGAAATAGTTACAAAGAACGTTTCTTGTACTCAAATTACACATTTACCATCTGTTATTAATAATGCAATAGTCATAATTTAAGTTAATACCATAAAACATAGAAGAATCGCTAACGTAAAAAATACAATAAATACTAAAGCGTTCTGCTTAAATTGTGAAAATGACAAAATAATTCAATTCAATAAAGCGAAATCAAACAAAATGTATTTATTAACGACACAACCAAGTTTATATTAACAACGGTGCATCATAGTACTTGTAGCCACAATCTTACATTTTCTCAATGCGGGTATAAACATATTTGTGTTATTCAATTGACGTTTTAAATATTCATAGGAAATAAATTGTTGAAAGAATCGCTGCATTGCAATTTAAATTGTAACTAGTTTCTTGAAGGGACATAAGTCCCTAAAAAACTCAAATGTAAAACAATATATTGCAATATTTTAACAATCTCAGAATTAAATTATCTATGAGTAAGAAAAGATATCCCTATACACCATATCTTTGGTGTAAAAACCAGTTTGCCGTTTGTGTTTGTTTGATTTTGTTGATTCAACAACAATCGTATCGATTCTATTGTTTGGAGGTGAACTAACTAACTGCTTGCCTTTCTGCGTGTCACTAGAACACGCCCATCAAGACTGAAAATCATATCTAGATCAACTGACGGAGAAAACATGGTGATTCTCTTTTCTAGGGTAACTTCCAAAGTAACATTTCCTTTACTAACTATAATTTGGGGCTTTAACATTTAATGTTCTGTTTCCAAACGCTGTGCTCGTATTCACGATAGATTACTTAGTCACGGAATATATTTTCAGGTTGTTGATTTCAATGAATTTGATGCCATTTGTTAGAGCCTTAATGTTGATCTAAACCAATTTGGAAGAGAAAAATATTGACAGGCCCTTTAAATATGTTTTTTATTGTTTGTTAATGTTAAGTTGTATTACACAAACAACAGAACAAAAACTGAAAACAGCAGATAAAAGGAATACACAGTCTGATGATGAAAATACCTTTTGATTAGGGTGTTTAGAAGAGACCTTTATTACAATTAAAAAAAGTACGACAGTGTGAACATACTTTAAAGGAGAATAACTACTGAAAGTTTATTAATATGATTAACACACAATATGATATTAATATGATTTTAGGTAGATCACATTAACATCCATCAGATTAAGACCCTTTAGGTAGATTAACATGTCTTTTCGAAGTTAAAGATGATTTTTAAGGATATCGAGAGGTTAGACGTATATTTTTTATTTTGTTGACCTGAAAAAGGGCGTTTTAAAACTCACAAAAACAAATATCAAACAAATAAATATCCAATAAATATGTTGGTAGTGTAGCTTACATAAAAAAAAACTTTCAACGTATAAAAACTACCTTGGAGACAGTGTCATCGTCAGTAAGTCAATTATTGATTACATACAGCCTAGTGTGGTGTTATTTTATACCTGTGTCGCTATACACCAAACAAACACTACCATGGCGACAGTTTCATTGACAGTAAGTCAACTATTGATTACAGGCACTCTAGTGTGGTGGTTATGCCTATGGCACCATACAGCATACAATCACTACCTTGGAGACAGTGTCATCGACAGTCAGTTAATTATTGATTACAAACACTCTGTGGTATTCCTTCACACCTGTTATCATACAACAAACGATCACTACCTTGGAGACAGTGTCATCGACAGTCAGTTAATTATTGATTACAAACACTCTGTGGTATTCCTTCACACCTGTTATCATACAACAAACGATCATTACCTTGGAGGCAGTGTCATTGACAGTCAGTTAATTATTGATTACAGACACTTTAGTATGGTGTTCCGTCACAACTGTACTATCATACAACATACAATCACTACCTTGGAGGCAGTGTCATCGACAGTCAGTCAATTATTGATTACAGACACTTTAGTATGGTGTTCCGTCACAACTGTACTATCATACAACAAACGATCACTACCTTGGAGACAGTGTCATCATCAGTCAGTCAATTATTGATAACAAACACTCTGTGGTATTCCTTCACACCTGTTATCATACAACAAACGATCACTACCTTGGAGACAGTGTCATCATCAGTCAGTCAATTATTGATAACAAACACTCTGTGGTATTCCTTCACACCTGTACTATCATACAACAAACGATCACTACCTTGGAGGCAGTGTCATCGACAGTAAGTCAATTATTGATTACAGACACTTTAGTATGGTGTTCCGTCACAACTGTACTATCATACAGCATACAATCACTACCTTGGAGGCAGTGTCATCGACAGTCAGTCAATTATTGATTACAAACACTCTGTGGTATTCCTTTACACCTGTACTATCATACAACAAACGATCACTACCTTGGAGACAGTGTCATCATCAGTCAGTCAATTATTGATAACAAACACTCTGTGGTATTCCTTCACACCTGTACTATCATACAGCATACAATCACTACCTTGGAGACAGTGTCATCGACAGTCAGTCAATTATTGATAGCAAACACTCTGTGGTATTCCTTCACACCTGTACTATCATACAACAAACGATCACTACCTTGGAGACAGTGTCATCATCAGTCAGTCAATTATTGATAACAAACACTCTGTGGTATTCCTTCACACCTGTACTATCATACAACAAACGATCACTACCTTGGAGACAGTGTCATCATCAGTCAGTCAATTATTGATTACAAACACTCTGTGGTATTCCTTCACACCTGTACTATCATACAACAAACGATCACTACCTAGGAGACAGTGTCAACGACAGTCAGT